CTCTTGTTCATTTCTGCGGATATGAATAGCAATATAGTGTATTTTATTAGATGCCACAATGTTTGCTTGATTGACATCGTCTGCACAATAGCTGTCGGCAGTGCTTATAAATGAAAAGATATCTTGATTTACAAGTATTGCGCAGTCTCGTAAAATATGTCCTCAGAAGAATAACTTTGATGGTTCTACTTACCCCACTATCAAGATAGATTACGTTACTTCAAGTTAAATACTCTTCAGGAACGCCGCTGTGTGCTTGATAATTCGTTTTTATACAAATTGGTCAACGGTGCTTTTGACTGCCCTAACCTGCTCCCAAAAGTTAATCTAAACGTTCCCTATAAGTTGCCTAGGATATCCCGATACAACTTGTTTGCGACCAGGAGCTCCAAATCAAATCTAGGTCTGTTTTCCCCTTTAAATAGAATGTTTAATCAATACAATGCCCTGTCTAGGTCCAATAATGTTAATGTTGATATTTTTTTCCTTAGTTTACGTAAATACAAGTCCACATGCTTGGACAAATCTCACCGATTTGAACAAGCATAGGGACTTCTTTACACCATATTAAATATTTTCAGTTTTTAACCCCTAATTGCTGTTGCTTTAGTCTCTAACGCATGATGTTTTCACCTATAATTAAGTTTGCATTTAACAAGTGTCATTTTTTATAGTTACTTTTGTGAAGCCTCAATGTAACCTTGTTGGTGTTCAAATAAATAAATAAATAAACTTGTATTATTTTCTTTTTCACTGTCAAGCTGGGTTGCACCATTACTTTAACTTTGACAAACGTCAAAAATCTGTCAATATCTTTACAAAAAACACCAGATCTTTAAAGTTACGATCAAAGTTATTTGGTGCAACTCAGCCTCAGTGTTTTAATTTCTTTCAGAGACAGTTTATGTAACTATTGAAACCTTAGGCCTATACAAATGAACCGTACACGCTATCTTTAAAAGCCACTAAATACGAATATAGTAGTGATTAAGATTATAGAAACAAAAGGTAATCTAGCTATAAAATCCATAATCGAGATTGGCAACAAAATTTCAACAAATTAATGAATTAATTTAAACGTTGAACTTACAAAGAGCTTTCAAAAGCAGACAGCAATATTTCCACCCGAAATATCAACTGAAACCTTTATAGAGGTCCTTCAAGAATTCATAACCGATTCAATTGTAAACTTTAGGTGGCTAATTTCAAAACACGTCGCTAAAATCCTTAGGCGTTAAAACCAAGATAAGTTTACAAGGGTTGTGTACCACACAGTCACGCAACAACAGCCAGCACAAGGTAAATTAATAATACATTGGTAGTATGCTACTTTTTACCCGACTACGGCAAAGCAAAAGGAGGGTTATGATTTTGACAGGCTATGTATGTATGTATGTATGTATGTTCATGTGTACCCTCGTAACTTCTAAACTACTAATCAGAATTCGACAAATGACATATCATTAGAAGCGTCTTAATTGTCCGCTGGTTATTGGCTATATGGGGTTTCACAAAATCTAATGTGGCGCCCTCTAGCGGACAAAACATACAGAGTAAAAAAATAAAGTTAAGATAAATATGCCCTGTTTGGTATCATTTGAAAGCGCTTTACTTGTACATTTTGAATATATATATATATACCTTTTTTTGTCAATAAAATTAAATGATTTGATGTAATGTACCATGGGCAACAGTGTTGACTATCCATTGCCTGTCATGTCGTCTTGTTCTATCGCAAAGAATCACCATTTGATGAGAGCGAGAGCAAAAACGGAAATGGATAGTTAACAGTGTATGTAAATAAATGGTTTGATTTGATTTGTCAAGTTATTAAAGCAAATTTCTGGGAATTGAGAATGTGTCCGAGGATTGCAAAAGATGCAAATTGAGGTGGAACGAGTTGTTCTAGAAGAGCCTTCTACAGGCTTTTAGAAATTGAGTAGATGAAACACATCATGTTATTGTACACCATACAGGACAAGAAGAAATAAAGAAACAAATATACAAAAGATACGACACAATTTAGGCAATCTTATCGCTATAAAGCGATCTCTTCCAGGCAACCTATAAGACGTAAGTTGTGACAACAGCTCAATGTGGATTTCAAAATCTACACTTACAAATTAATTAAAATATAACTCTGATAAGATACCAAACGTTCATATCCCATCAAAACAGCTAAAGAAATCGCGTCTTGACCAGTCCTAAACGTGAGACGGACGTTCTTTGATCTCAAACGGGAACTTCCCAACAACCTGCATTTAAAATCTAAAGGCCTGCAACCTTTATCAGGTCGCATATACACTTTGCCGTTTCAATTGCGCTGTGGCCTCTGCAAACATCCCGCGCATAACGAGTTTGTCCCCGCTCTTATAACCCCATTAAATAGCCTGTAAAACTTTCATTGACCCTTAAAAATTATGAAGCAATCATTCTTTTAAATGCCGCGCGCTCTGGTATCTGCAATGGGTGAAATATTCCGCTGGTTAAGTACCAGCTTCCAGTTTTGTAGTATAAATTCAGTTTATTTAATGAGCTGCGTAATAATCTGATTAAGTGTGCCGCACAGTCCCTGTTTATCGGGGTGAAAATTTCGGTTAAGGTACAATTTATTAACCAAACCTACATCATAATTTTGATAATGCGAAACAGAGAATGCGTAAGGTTTATTTACGCGACTCATTTCACCAATATCGGTCTAAAGTTTTCTTGTGTGCGGCTTACTTAATAGAATTTTGTGGCATTTTCTTTCAATCAAACGGAGCTTAACAGCGCCATGTAAGTATCTTTTAAAATTATGGTACTTTAGTGCATAACCCTAACGATTACAACTATCAGACATTGTCGTCAAATAAATTCTTACCAACAAAAAAAAGTAACAGCTTGTTGAACATTGTTTTAAAATGTCATTTCCATACTAAACATCGCTTTACAACGCTGATTAACAAGCGCGTAATTGTTATTAGTGAGGGGGCTAAAGTTTATTAATGCTAATTTTATCATACATTTCAAATCACTTTCTATAAATGAAGAATAAAGGTTTCTTGCAACACAGCTTGAGTTCCATCAGTTTCAAAAGTCGGCGCAAATATAAACAGACACTTAGCGCCATTTACGGGCGGACAAATCTCCGCGCGCATCCGACACTGAGCAAACACAAATCAAATATCTGCGTAACAAGGGTCCGGACTCCGGGCCCTTCCCGGGTCGGGCCAATCGAGGCCCTGATTGAGTAACTGGGAGCGTAGCTAGGAGAAGTGAGCTAAGACAAGTTTTTGCTATAACAATTTAAATTACAGTTTAACTTTCCCCCGGGACAAACTTGACCTTCACTGGTTCGGTTTTTATTGGCGGTCAAGCTGTAGATCCTGGCTACACAGAAGTTGCAGAGGTGGGAACAAGAGGTAATAGTCCCGTAAAACAATTTAAAGACTAACATTGAAAAGTGCCTGAAGAATCTGATCATGCGTAATAAGTAGCGCTGAAATTAAATAAGTAGGTATAATTATAGTTCCTACCTTTTTCGCGACGACCCGTCGACTCGCCCACTGTCCTCCATCTGTAAAATATATTTTAAATTATTAGGTAAATGACAGACCAATTACTATGCTTTTGAGTTAAATATGGGATCTTTGAATCCACTATACATTTGAAACAAATAAAGTTATTCATGAAGTCTCAATTTATTGAGGACACAGCCCTAGTGTCACATGAGCTGCCGTAGTCGTATGATATAGCGCAATCAGACCGACAATCGCGTATTATTCATCTATTCAATAAGAGCATTAGGTACACGAGTATAGTCAAGAAAAGAAATTGACAAAATCCTAGAAGAGCTTCAGTTCACTTTATATTCTTTAATAGTACATGCACGATTAACCCTTTGAGATTAAACGTCGTTAACGTTCACAGACTGATCTTCGCGTGCTTTGCCAGAGGATTTTCATTAATGGGGATGTTGCCTGGGTCAAAAAGCAAGAGTTTTAATTAGTCCGTCAGTTAACTTATCAAAAAATACTCTACACGTATTTTTCACTTTTTCAAACTAATGAAAATTTAAAGAGATAAAGCGCCCCAAAGTTCATAAGAAGAGGCCCGTGACGTCAACGCTTGCTTAAAAATGCCGCACGTTGTGACGTCGTGCGCAACTTCAACGCACCATAACTATGTAATTATTTGTTAGATTGACAAATAAAAATATATGTGTCCAATATTTTTTGATATTAAACATTACGGACTAAAAAAATTTTTTTAGGCAACTAGCCTATTAAAATGTACCCGACGTATAACTATACGGATGATGTTAGATTATTAATTTATCTGCGCGGCCAAATTTCGGCGTTCGTGCTAAATCCCTGGTAATTGAAAGATTCGTATTATTAATGGCACTGACTTGTTATTAATCATTTTGAATGGTAAATCATAGGTTGTGATAGAGGCTGTTCTAGTAAGGATAGCTACGTTAAACCAATGTTATAATTTAACAATTTGTGTTAGGGGTATTATTTATTAAAGTTTAAATACGCGCCAAAGGCTAAGCTAATCACGGACTTAAATTCCAAGATTACACTTCTCAATAACGCTCGCGGCCACACACGGCCTCCTTGGCTGCGCGACACTGCATGCACTGGCCACTAATAAGAAAAAACTGAATTTTTCGCGATGAACAAAATCCATGCTCTTTTGTTTTTCTTTTCGCTCGTCCCTCGATTTTCCACAACATGAATTTTCACGACTCAAAATTTGTAATTATGCACGTTTTACCTGTATTTAATGTAATTATAATAATCTACGATACCCCAAATCACACATACGAATACAAGAAAAATTTGTGAGTTCGCACGCTCCATCTTAAAACTTGATAATCATTACATTAAGATTGTAGTCAAGCACATACCAGTTCCGAGAAAAAACCTTTTTACTACTCTTTTTATTTGAATAATGTCTTTAATGTCTTTACGAATCAGACTCATGAAATTCACTCAGCGTGTTGTTTACAGAGACATGCACGCAACTGTATGCGGAGGGAGGACGGGCCTGTGCGACGCGATGCGGCCCGCCAGTGGCTCCGATCTGCTCAAATACTTGAGAAAAGTCAACTTCACTGGTATGTTTCAAGATCTTTATGTGAATAAAAGCCAGTGACAGGACAATGATGAAAGAGTTACTCTTTAGCTAGGTGGCTGACTCTAAGGAGGAAACAGCCCAGCGATATCAAATAGTAACTCAATGCTAATGATTAAATTCTGTACACTTAATTGCAACATTTCTCAAATAATAAACCTGAGATGTTATATTCATACTCTTCACAAAAGTCAAGAAATAGTCTTCTGTTACAAATCGCAAACGTACTTACTTAACTCTAGTTTTACATACACCATCAAGGAAAAGGAACTCTAGCTGACCACAGACGCAATACTACTTCTAGTTTTCCATAAACTATCGAGGAATATGAACTAGATTTAATTACTTCCATACAATTCCTACCCTCTAGAAGGATGACCTAGACCAGCCGTCTGACAAGACTCTTTTCCAGGTCTAAGCGGCGACGAGTTTCATTTCGATAACAACGGCGATGGACCAGCTCGGTACAACATCCTACACTTCAAGCAGGTGGCCCATGGCGTCTACCGCTGGGTCAATGTGGGGGAATACCTGGACGGCGAGCTGCAGCTTAACTTGGACGGTAAGGCAATGAAGTTAGAGTTTAAAATCATTTGTACGAGGACTAGCTAGTTGTAATTAGACAAGAACGGTGACGGGCCCGCTCGCTACAACATACTACACTTCAAGCAGGTGGCCCATGGCGTCTACCGCTGGGTCAACGTGGGGGAATACCTGGACGGCGAGCTGCAGCTTAACTTAGACGGTAAGGCAATGAAGTTAGAGTTTAAAATCATTTGGACTAGCGAGTTCTAATTAGACAAGAACGGTGACGGACCAGCTCGGTACAACATCCTGCACTTCAAGCAGGTGGCCCATGGCGTCTACCGCTGGGTCAACGTGGGGGAATACCTGGACGGCGAGCGGCAGCTTAACTTAGACGGTAAGGCAATGAAGTTAGAGTTTAAAATCATTTGGACTAGCGAGTTCTAATTAGACAAGAACGGTGACGGACCAGCTCGGTACAACATCCTGCACTTCAAGCAGGTGGCCCATGGCGTCTACCGCTGGGTCAACGTGGGAGACTACCTGGATGGCGAGCTGCAACTGAACTTAGACGGTATGGCTATGAAGTTAAAGTTTAAATTCGATTGCACAAGGACTAACTAGTTCCACTTTGATAACGGTGATGGACCAGCTCGGTACAACATCCTACACTTCAAACAGGTGGCTCAGGGCGTCTACCGCTGGGTCAACGTGGAGGAATACCTGGACGGCGAGCTGCAGCTCAACTTGAACGGTATGATACATACTGAAGTTAGATTTTAAATTATAATACTACCCGATCGAGCTAACTGCGCACCTCGCTAGGGTGCGTCTCTCCCTCCCACCTCCAGCACACCTCCCCGCGTTCGCTACGTCCGTATCAGACCGTGGATATGACGTCACGACTGTCCAGGTGCGCAGTTAACTCAACTGGGTTGTAACAACAGGAATAGAATGAGATGAGGAGATCGAACGGATTCTATCCTAAGTATTTCTTTGGCAATATTAACCACAATTTATTTGTACAGATATCCAGTTCAAATGGGGGGAACGGAGGCCTCCCGAGTCGGTGTGCAGCGCGGAGTGCGAGCTCGGGCAGGCCAAGCAGTACGTGGAGGGCGAGAGCTGCTGCTGGCACTGCTTCAACTGCACGCAGTACGAGGTAACACATCGTCATAGTCCAATTCTAATTCCTCTAGGATGTAGGCGCTCTTTTCAGGTCACTACATCATCATTTCAGCCATAGGACGTCCACTGCTGAACATAGGCCTCCCCCAATGACTTCCACATCGCACGGTTGGTATCGGCCTGCATCCAGCGCCTTCCTGCTACCTTTATCTTATCGCTGCGCTTTCCAGTACGTGGCCTCCACTCCAGAACATTGCTGCCCCATCGGCCGTCAGTTCTGCGTACTATGTGCCCTGCCTGCCCATTGTCACTTCAGCTTGCTAATCCGTTGGGCTATGTCAGCGACTTTAGTTCGTTTACGTGCCTCAAATATTCCTTTCCCTACGACCACTTGGGTGTACCATGTCAGCTGTGCTGACAACTTCACCCAGTCAGTGGTCAGCACATGGTAGTAAGTGCTTAGTTGTGCAACTAATTTTTCAGTTTGACTCTTTGTAGACAGGGTTGCTTTATGGCAGGAGCCAAGATTTCAGAAAAGTTCTCCTGAATATAAAACCAAGAAAGAATCGGCTTTTCCATAAATTTTGGTTGACAAGAACAAAAAGGAACTTTTTACTTGTTATGGATCAGGTTCAATTTTTAGGAATACTAAAATTAGTATTTCTGTGACAGCTCTTATACGACCATGATAAACGTTGTGAAAAAGTAATTATCAGAGCGCACCCTTAGAATGAAAGTGACTTAACTCAAAATTCCTGTTACTCTCGATTTCACCATAAACTGACCTTATAAAGCATGCTCTATATCCCTGTATAGATAAAGTGACCTATCTCTTAGTAAAAGCAGAGAAATGCATACTTCGGTCTCTTTCACTTGTCCCGCTTTTCATGTAGGTATGCATATTGTGTGAAAGAGGCAGAACTAGTTTTACGTCGGCGGTGCTTGCGAGTGTACGTGTAAAACATCGGCGGATCTCGAATTATATCTGTTTATTACAAAAATACTGTAAAGGTAAGTTCATGATTCTTTTNTCTAAGGGTGCGAGAGGCAAACATTGCAAAATACATAGTTACTTAAAAAGGGACTGAACGGCCAGCATTACATAAACAAATATTAAACACAAAGGTGCTCTACTCGTATAATATAAATGTATATTTGTGACATTACACGGGCATTGGTTCAAATGGGACTGAACTTTGCAATCGTCTGGCAAAATTCAACTTGCAAGCTCAATGTTATAAGGACAAACGGCTGGGGTATTAGGGTGCATTCATATTGGAGAGAGCAATTGAACGAGATGCGCTCCGAGACCAGACGGCAAAGAGTATTGAGGTACTTAGTCACACGGTTCTTAACGCGAATCGATACATTGCCCCTCACTCTCTTATACACTCGGCATCAAATAAATCGCACCTCCCGCGACAAAGACAAACACTTATCAAACGTATGCATCCCCCCTTCCCAAGAACATTGGTACCATTTGAAAGCCTAGTTCTAAACTTAATTTCATTAAAGGAAAGGTGGTAAAACCACAAAAATGTGTGTTTAGAAGGATCCAGAGTCACTTCTTCAAAAAATAGGTAGTTGCGCTTGAGCCAACTTTTGTGGCTATAAAACTGTTAAATTGGGATTAATTGCTATCCATCTGTTAAAAAGGAGGTCGAGGCCTATTTTCAAGTCACATTTATGGTAGGTTGTTATTTGTTTTTCTTTAAGTTTATTTATTGGGCTTTTAAATAACACCAATATTGTTGGCGCACCATGATTGTGTCAGAAGAAAATCTTTAAAGTTCGCGCCACGGAAGGTGCGATTTATTTGATGTTGAGTGTAGTTACATTTCCATTTCAAATTTTGAAGACAAGCTGCTAAGTGATTTCGAATTTCATGATAAGTAATTTAAGCTTCAATAACTTATGAACAATACACGCATTCCTCAGTTCAGGCGTTTTGTTCTAGAAAACTTCTAAATCCCCACCGGTCTATGTACCTATTGAATTGAGAACTTGAGAGAGACAATAATGACAAACTTCTCAAACAAAACCATTTGAAATACCTTTGATTGAAACGAAAAGTAGACATGAACGGCATAGCTAAGTAGACATGACTTCTGATCTCTTTCGAAATCCAAAACGATAACGAGATTTACTTTGATACAATATAGTTCCTCTAGCTCGTGCCCCTTTCAAAGACAAACGCATTAACATCCACTCTACAAAGACAACATACAATATAAGACAATTTTGATGCATTCCACCACATAAAATATTACTTTGTGTACGACTGTAAAGCCAGCGTCAAGCCAAATTAGATTGGACTCATATCTCATACAATGTTACTCGTAACTCGAATGGGGATGAGTGGAACGTAAAATGTAAGGATTTGGGGTCGACTAGGCAGATGACTTTCGACATTCGTATATGACATTATTTTCTACGATGCCATTTTAATAGTTAAACAACCACAGGCAATAATATTTTTACCACTTAGGCGGTTATCACACTGCGCCGCGCTCCGCCGCGGATGGTTGTCAGTGTGAAATGCCGCGCGTGTTTTCTATACAAACTGAGGTACTTGCATACAATGATTAAATCTGTCACCCAGCGCTCCGCGGCGGAGCGCAGCGCAGTGTGATAACCACCTTACTGACTAACGTCCGTATTCACAATCGATACTTGCTTAAGTGAAGCAGCAAGTCGAACGCACAGCGTTGAATAGAGCGCTGTGATTGGTTCGTGTGTGACCCTGTGCGTCCACGCGCACTGTGAGACCTCATAGTAATGTTTGTGAATACGGGCGTAAGGCACTAGCTGTATCTGTACCTAGACTAGACTTCAAATCAATCAAATGGGTACAAAATTTGTTACAACCGATTCAAAAATATATCAAAATCTATCAATCGATCTATCTCTGTTCCATCACGGATTTAATCCTTATGATGACAAGGGAAAATGTAGAAATCGCATACGAAATCAAAAGGCTAGGATTCAGCAATCGCGCCCTAAGCCTTTATAAAACGGTTTAGCTTAAAGACGGGCGCAGAGACAATAGGCTAGTTGCCTAAAAAAATTTTTTTAGTCCGTAATGTTTAATATCAAAAAATATTGGACACATATATTTTTATTTGTCAATCTAACAAATAATTACATAGTTATGGTGCGTTGAAGTTGCGCACGACGTCACAACGTGCGGCATTTTTAAGCAAGCGTTGACGTCACGGGTTGTGTCACGGGCCTCTTCTTATGAAATTTGGGGCGCTTTATCTCTTTAAATTTTCATTAGTTTGAAAAAGTGAAAAATACGTGTAGAGTATTTTTTGATAAGTTAACTGACGGACTAATTAAGACTCTTGCTTTTTGACCCAGGCAACATCCCCATTGTGCTTTTATTACTCTCGCTTACACTGCCTCGTGATATGCATACGATAGCTCGGTACACTCGGCCCCATATAAAAGCTATTCCAAGTTTTGATACATTTAAACATTGTGAAATAAAAAATCTGACACGTCCGATGTACGTGTTAAATCTACTCGTATCTCTGTAAATATGTAAGTATAGAATAGAATAGCATATAAACCTCATAGAGTTGTAGAGTATAGATTGATGTGCTGTTGATGGTAGATAAACTTTTGACCTGGGCCCACATCGTGACATTCTATTTTGTAGCCTAGGCTCTGTTCTGTCATCATTCAATCAGTTTTTCATGATGGAATAACATTTATCACTCATACCTTCTGATGATTAGTAAACTCACCATTTGGCTAGCTGTCTTATAAGAGACATGAAAGCAAAGCTTTGAACAACGCCAGACAGAATCTTAGTTGGAAATCGTTTAGATATTAAACAATTCTGTTTCCGACTACCCACGGCCATATCACGGCGCATCCCTGGAATTAGACTTGCAGACGTTAGAAGCAATTCAACTTGCAAAGCTCAATGTTATGAAGACAAAACGACTGCAATGGGGTGCATTTTTATTGGCATTTGATATTGCAGAGCTCCGGCGAGGAACTTCAAGGCACACACCTACATTTCAAGCGCCGATCGGATGGTATTTTACTACATTTCTTCCTTAAAACAATATCCCTTTATTAAGTTTGAAACATTTTTTGTAATGTCAACCAAATCTCATAACTAGACTTGATTTCCAAACTTGAGCCCCGTTTTGGGAACCTATCCTCAGAAAAGCAAACACGTGTTCTCATTAGTAGCCATTCAACAAAGTAAAATAAATAGCTCTTTTTCTTCACTCTGGGGATCCCAAAAAAAAGGGCATGACAGAATAAAAAAGTTTTGGAACATTGTAATGTCGTTTAGTCTCCAAACTAATGCAAGAGTAACCCTTTCTGATTTACACACGCTGCTGGCCAAATGGGTTGAGATCTCTAAAAAAACATGGGCATTTTAATGCTTTAGCTTTTGTGTTTCCTGAAGTTATATGATCGTTTAAGGGCTGATTTTCCACAGATAACTTTTAACTGAAGAATAAGTTGACACATTGACAGTTTCAGTACCTATGGGAAATATGTCAAAATGACAAGTTTATTCTTCAGATAAAAGATATCTGACGATTGAAAAATCAGCCCTTAGTCAGTTTTAAGACAGCAACAAATCGAAAATTCGCAGTGTCGATGCACGCTTGATTTCAAAGTTGTTCAATGTCTTTATCTTTAATAGCATCATTTGGGACTAGAACTACTATGGCATGGTAATCAGACTATCTTAACCAATATTACTAGATAGAACATGACGGTTCTAAAGCGCTTAAGCCAAAGTTACAGATATTAGCGGAAACTTTGCGAGGGATATTATGCAAGCAAATTAGTATTATTGTCGTCGTTAACAGAATTATCTTTTAAGCTACTCGTAGTATAGATTAGTTTTAAAGATTAGTGTATACCTAAGATTGTTTTTTGATTGATTTAGTAATAGGGATGTTTTAAAATTATCTCTATCTTTTTCTTCGTCAGCTCTTTTTCATCCAATAAAAACCGTTTTACCTGTAGATCCGTTACGCAAACTCTACATTTCTTCACAACAAAAGAACTATCTTATTTATTTATTAGTTTCTGTAATAATTTATTGTTAGTACTTTTTTAAACATTCTAAGCATATTGCTTTCTTTCAAGTATCAGTTTGTGCAATGTACAAGTAAATACCTGGACAGTATTAAGGCTTTGTCCCACCAGACTATTTATGAGATATATCATACTCCAGAATCTGGAATATTTTGTGCAGCCGTAAATTTACATTGTAAGCAATATCCGGAAGGTATATTGCTGTCATTTTCCACAACAAGAGGTAAGTTATGTAAGTTTATAGACATGTTGGTCTACTTTTTCGGTTATTCATCGGTGTGTTCGTACATTTTACAATGCACAATGCAATTTTAATAAAGAAAGATACCTATAGATGATCTGTACTTGCACTACTGAAAATATTTGATTCAAGAGGTGCCTGAAGCTCAGAATTGTGCCTGAAGTTCTAATCCTATACAGTGCATTGCCATAACATCTAACATCTACTATGAACAGCACAACGGACAATATTGTAGCTAAGTCACACCTATCTATACTGCCGGCATACATAAAGTGCAGCAGTTTTAGCTTGATATACCTACCTAATGCTTCTCACTTGAACGAGTATTATTTTCTTTACTCTATATTTGATGTCTGCACTCTTGATATTTGGTATTGAAAAAGCGAGGGCCTCGCTGATATTTCTCCTGGGCCCGTAAAGCAAACCCCCAATAATAACGGAGCAGGAAACAATCGCTCACCGAAATGTGTATGGCTAATGGAAACAAATAGAGTAGACTTTGGACTTCATATAAATACGTAAATATTAGTTCAGTAAAGTTTACGGTCTTGGATCCCTGGGTGCAAATATTAGTGTGGTAAACACTGTAATTAAACCCAGAGTCTCTTATTAGTAGCACACGTCGTCCATACTTGTTAACTTGGTATGTTACAGTCTGAACTCACCGTTACAACCCTTTTTAGTCGCTGAACAATAGGAAACTGTGTAATAAAAGATTTCTGTGATAAATTATTTTGCTTAACGATTAAAAACGGTACTAAGTACTGGGAGAAAATCTCTCACCATCGACTTTTAGTTGGCCGATAGTTGGGCCAGATTTTAATTTTTTCGAAGAATCGGCCGATACCAATCGGTGTAATGTGCGCACTTTCATACATCTCCATACTGATAAACAGCCCGACCTAACTATCGGCCAACTAAAAATCGGTAGTCTGCGCCTAGGCTTAGTACTAAACCAAGCTAAATATTATATTAGTCACGGTACCCACATACTTAATAGTTTATTGCAAATGCATGTAGGCAGTGTGGCCAAAATTATTATGATTATGATTAAAATGAAGAAAGTGCGTCACTGAATCCTGCTCAGCTATGACGCAAGTCACCGACACCAACATTTGATGCATAGGCCCGGCCCGGTCCATCCATTACTCGATAGCTGGGGCCGGTCCGTTTTGTTACCCGCTTAATTCGGTTGTTACACTCAGCGCACATTTCGCGATTTTTTTGTGTATTTTAGAAAATCACTGTCGTCAGAAATAAAATTCCTGAACGACATTAGCACTCCTGGGCGTGGTTTGCGACCACCCAAGTCTGTTTTGTCCTCCCCCAAATAATCTTGGCTGCTACGCTGCCTTATCCTGGCAATTTCTGGGTCTAAAAATCCTGGTATGCCTAGAGTCCCAGACCATGATCAGTTTAATAAAATGCGAAAAAAAAACAAAAATGTCTCATCGAACAAAAATATTGCTTCATGATATTCACAGGACCTTTTTACATTTACGCCTTTGATCCTCAGATCCGATCGCCGTACGTGGAGACAGCCTGCATGGTGTGTCCCCGCGGGACGCTGCCCGACCCGACTCGGACGCACTGCAGGCCCATTCCGGAGGCCTACCTGAGGCCCGACTCCGCCTGGGCTATCGGCGCCATGTCCTTCTCTTCTGTTGGGATATTGATCACTGCGTAAGTCCTCACTGCTTACGCCCGTATTCACAAACATTGCTATGAGGTCCCACAGTGCGCGTGAACGCACAGGGTGACACACGAACCAATCGCAGAGATCTATTCAACGGTGTGCGTTCCATTTGCTGCTTTACGTTTCGAATACGGATAATTAGCATCGTTTGTGAATACGGGCATTAGTCTCATTAGCGCATAAACATTAGGTCTCACGATTGGGATGATTTCTCGGTAATGAGGTCCTAGAGTATCATAGCAGCCTTTCTATGTAGAAAGAACTTCTAGCTTGCTCTTGATAACAATCCAATTGATGATAGAGCGAGCTTTCATAGAAGCTGCCTATTCACGCGTGCCATGAATGCGTTGGGGTTGTATTATTAGGAGACTGGCAGGTAATTCCACTCCTTGGCAGTGCTTTTAGTCTTTATCACCATCTCACATCAAGTATCCAAGTAATGAGCTTGATCAAAAGTCATACTACGTAGGTCAGTGGAGTTAAATAAATCGTCTACGCCATTTTCCACCCCAGAGTAGTTGAAACACAATCTTTCAACCCAGGTTCGTTTGTGGCGTGTGGGTGCGACACAGCTCTACACCAGTCGTAAGAGCGAGCGGGAGGGAGCTATCTTACGTCCTGCTCGCCGGGATCCTCATGTGCTACCTCGTCACCTTCGCGCTGGTCTTCAGGCCGACTGACATCTTGTGTTCTATACAGCGGTAAGTCCGATCTAACTTTCTTCTATGCTGTTCAAAAATCCAGGTTTCAGTAACATAGGTGCTTGCTGGTGCTATTTAGGAACTTTTTTCTCCTTCCCTCTTCTAAATGCAGAACATATAAATTAATTGTTATAATCGTTGAACTACGAAAAAGTGCACACCAAAAAAAAGGTATCATGACAATGACTTATTTAATAAACTGACATGACGAAAAGTCCAATTCCACTTATGCCCTAAACAACTCATTTGATCAGTAACAAAATTGATTGCTACCAAGGACGCCTCCCAGATTCCTGTCTTTTAATTAGAACGAACAAAATCCCACTAAATCCATCCGAGCCTTGCACACAAAGGATTTGATTAACTGCCGCAACTCCACCGAAAAATCTCCCCTATTCCCATATATGGGCTATAAAAACAAATATCCTTCGTAGTAAACGGAGTACGATGAGTATAGTAATAAAATCTCAGGCAAAGTAACAAAAACCTGAAGAAACTGAATACTTACAAGAACAAGGGTCTAACTACAGATTAGGATAGATATCGTAAACAATGTTCGTGTGTTTTACGCATTCTTCTTAAGAAGTTTTGGCACCTATGAGTGTGAGAGGGAACTATCTAATTTCTGCCTAGGTCTGGTCACTAGGCATTATAGGGATCTGGATCTCTTTGGCATACGCTGTATAACAGTGTACGACAAAATCCATAGACCTGAATGAAATAGTTTTAGCCGTCGTGAATTAAATTATGTATTAGATTTTGTAGATAGTTGAATCTTTAAGCAGTATCTTGCAACATTATGTACCGTTTGACGCTCTACATGTGCCAAAAAGCGCATATCAACATGCTATTGTGTAAGAGGTGCCAAACATGTAAAACATTACTTGTTGCGCATCTAACGTTGCCTAGTGGATACACAGCTTCATTTAGTTTTATGAATGTACACGACCATAAAGTAGACCTTCCTCTAATAATTAATCCAATGATTGGATTTCGTAACTAACACCTGGCTATGATGTATTACAGACATAATCGAAACTGGATTCGTCCCCTAATGGTTCTCCCGCGTCGTGTGCGGATTAAGGTTGCCACATACCTACTTAGCACTATCCCGAAATCGCAATAGCACCCATTGAATATAGAGGTGGCTATTTATCTATATATGGCTAGCTTTAAAACCCAAACGTGTATATTTCCACTGCCCTAAAAGCCTAATGCAGACAGACGGTTTCCAATCTACGCCATAAGGCTTAGGCCTCGACTTAGGCTTAGTTTAGCTCTTAGTCTAGCGACCACAATAAGACAAAAAAAAACAGAATTGTCTCACTTTCATTATCTATCGTGAGTTGTCAAGGATGGGCAGCTTGGGGTCATTGGACGGGATTTTACGTGCTCACGGACCAGGCTTTAGTAGTAAATTCTGTACTGTTCTCTCTGTTTAGCTACGCGGCGACACCTGTGTGGTAACCCTTAACCATCCCATAATAGGCCTTGGTTTTGAATAGGTCCATTCCTCACACGTTCGGCGGCACAATGGCGCCGTCTTCTCAAGGGCGACCTCGATACGGATTAATAGAGCACACTGCGACATAATGAGATTAATTACCACACGTTTCATCTGCTCTGTGCCGGATAATTGCGGGTGTAATACTTTTTTTGTCCCTACACGTGCCAAATATTATATGGATAAAAGAATATTCGTTGGGCACATAAATAATGTAGTGACTATTTCTGACAAGATTGGTGTTGCTTGTTGCCCCAAAAGATGACAAAACAAAAACTAATTATGTCTAGAAATCAAATCCAAAACAGTAGATGCTTGGATTTGGAGATGTAGTACAAAATTTAAACCAACAATATTGTACAAATGGTACATTATACTAGACCAAGCAGAATCATGTTGGTGTTAATATAAAAATGAAGGTAACTATCTTGAATTTAATTAAACAAAATATCAATAATTAAACTGGTGTTGAATTAACTTGGCAACTTACGTTCGTGCATTATGCATACAGTGTGCCTACCATGAGTTTACGTTAGGTGAGCTCGCTAGCGAATACGTCAAAAAATTCTAAAAAGATTTTATTTCTTGAAAGTAGCCGCTAGGGGCGCTGCACAATATGTCATACATTTAATTGTCATTTTTTTACGCAGTCGCTAGCGAGCACACCTAACGTAAACTCATGGTAGGCACACAGATCTCGTTTGCTGACAGCAGGTGCCAAATGAATTTGATCTACCAGTATAGTACCTACAGCACATCAAACTATTAATTTTTGTTGCAAATTCGCCTCTATTACAACTACATAAGAAACCTCAGTGTTTACCTTGATGTGATGTCGTCGTACCTAACGCTATGAACCGCGACGTCTTGCACAAATTATACAGCACGGAGCGAGAAGTTTTATTGGTGTGCAAATAATTTGGAAATGAAGAAGACAGGTGCAGGTGCAAGCTTACCATGATGATGATGAGTCAGAAGTACCTAGAAACAAAAATTCTCATTAATTTCTATGGAATTAAAATTTATGTCAGTGTAAGAAAGTAGAAAGCTGTTGTCGTTAGAGACGATACTGTTTTTTTTTTGTTTTCATTTCTCTCCTGTTTTAATATTAAACTAACAACTTGTTAAAATCGTTAACATTTCTAGTGGTCACTCTCTTAATAATCCTATAGGTTCAAGAGCTCTCTCTTTAACTTTAAGCCCTTTGCCCTTTAGCGTAACCCACCTAGCGTATAATTTCTAATAGCCTAGGAAAGTCCAATATTTTGCTACATTGATTCCTCCCTGCAGGTTCGGCACAGGTTTCTGCTTCACCGTAGTGTACGCTGCTCTCCTGACGAAGACCAACAGGATATCCCGGATCTTCAACGCCAGCAAGCACTCCGCCAAGCGGCCTATCCTGATCTCGCCCAGCTCGCAGCTTGCTATATGCGCTGCACTAGTTTCTATTCAGGTGAGTTGCCCATTAGACTAAATGCAAATGAAGAATTTTCATTATTTCTGTAAAATTGAGGTGTAGTTATGCTAATATCGAATGAATCGAATAACGCCCACTGTTTTAATGACAGCTGCAGACTGCACCGACTATAACAGCCAACTCAGCACAATTTTTGCGGGCTCTTGCAGAATATGCAGTTTATACGATTTGATTACCTATTCAGCGAATCTTAACAAAAAAAGCGAAGGTAGGTATCTCTACCTTCCTACAGCCGCACGATAAAAACATTCTATGCCAAGCAAATCCACGTGAGCAGGTTTGCAGCTAGAGTTAATTCAATGTTAGGTGTTTATTTTCGCACACTTTTCCACTCACTGTAAGACGAGCTTTCACCTCCCTTTCTATCAATTAACGTACTCTTGTCCTTGTCTCCAAGCTATACTATAGTATTAGTCAAAATATATTAATCTAAACTTCGTACGTGTAAAAATAGTTTGAATAATATTTCTCGTATTTGTAACATTTTTTTTACTGCTCTGGCCCTATTGGCTGTAGGCCTGTTGTGTTGTTGCCTGTTATGTTATTAGCCTAAAAGCTTCCTCGATAAATGTGCTAACCAACACAAAAATAATTTGTCAAATCGGACGGTTCGGACCAGTAGTTCATAAGATTAACGAGTTCAAGCAAACAATACAGATACACCCTTCCTTGTCACCAGGTGCTAATAGTAGTGGTATGGATGATAGTAGCGCCCGCGCGCGCGATGTTCCACTACCCGACCAGGGAAGACAACATGCTGGTGTGCGACTCATACGTGGACGCGTCCTACATGATCGCCTTCTTCTACCCCATCGTGCTCATCCTCGTGTGCACCGTGTACGCCGTGCTGACCAGGAAGATACCGGAGGCTTTCAACGAGAGCAAGCATATTGGTGAGTGGTTACGGTCCTTAAAACTCAACAAATTCGAGGACACGCTAGTTCGATCGTCATCGACTATTGATAGACCTCACACATACTATGACACTAGCATTGTGCTCATCCTCGTGTGCTCCGTGTAAGCCGTGCTGACCAGGAAGATACCGGAGGCTTTCAACGAGAGCAAGCATATTGGTGAGTCCTTCAGGTTCAGAATGTCCAATTCCCAAAATGTCCAACGGTTTCAAAATGTCCAATTCCCATATCTACAAATTATTCTTTCCTTTTTAGGTCAATAGAAAAAAATATAAATAACTATACATACTTGTACGAGTACAATGTGCAGTAGCTACAAATTTTTTCTACGTAATTTTTGCAAATAATACAAATTTTCTATGTTTATATGCCGATTTTGCAAAAACTAAACGCATTCGTACAGAAATATATTAATTACTAATTTTTAAGAAAGGCTATGAGGACTTATTTAACAAATCCATCAAAATAGTAGATTGGACATTTTGGGAATTGGACGTTTCGGGAACTGGACATTTCAGGAATTGGACATTTCGGGAATTTGACATTTCGGGAATTGGACATTTTGGGAATTGGACTTTCTGGGAATTGGACATTTTGAAACCGTTGGACATTTTGGGAATTGGACATTCTGAACCTGAAGGTGGTGAGTGAATGGCCCTTAGAATCGCTAAAATCAAGTGGCAGTGGGCGGGGCACATAGCTCAGAGCTGATGCCGCTGGGGCAGCTCTTGAGTGCGACCACGAGCCGGAAGACGTAGCGTGGGCAGGCCTCCCACTACGTGGACCGACGATCTGGCGAAGTTCGCAGGAGGTGCCTCGATGCGGGCGGCGCAGGACCGGTCTTTGTGAAAAACCTTGGGGGAGGCCTTTGTCCAGCAGTGGACGTCTTTCGGCTGAATTAGCATTGTGCTCATCCTCGTGTGCACCGTGTACGCCGTGCTCACTAGAAAGATACCGGAGGCTTTCAACGAGAGCAAGCATATTGGTGAGTGTTTAAGGTACTTAAAACTCAACACATTCGAAGACACGCAAGTTCGATCGTCATCGACTATTGATAGACCTCACACATACTATGACACTAGCATTGTGCTCATCCTCGTGTGCTCCGTGTAAGCCGTGCTGACCAGGAAGATACCGGAGGCTTTCAACGAGAGCAAGCATATTGGTGAGTCCTTCAGGTTCAGAATGTCCAATTCCTAAAATGTCCAACGGTTTCAAAATAACCAATTCCCATATCTACAAATTATTCTTTCCTTTTTAGGTCAATAGAAAAAAATATAAATAAATATACATACTTGTACGAGTACAATGTGCAGTAGCTACAAATTTTTTTTACGTAATTTTTGCAAATAATACAAATTTTCTATGTTTATATGCCGATTTTGCAAAAACTAAACGCATTCGTACAGAAATTTAATTACTAATTTTTAAGAAAGGCTATGAGGACTTATTTAACAAATCCATCATAATAGTAGATTGGACATTCTGGGAATTGGACGTTTCGGGAACTGGACATTTCAGGAATTGGACATTTCGGGAATTTGACATTTCGGGAATTGGACATTTTGGGAATTGGACTTTCTGGGAATTGGACATTTTGAAACCGTTGGACATTTTGGGAATTGGACATTCTGAACCTGAAGGTGGTGAGTGAATGGCCCTTAGAATCGCTAAAATCAAGTGGCAGTGGGCGGGGCACATAGCTCGTAGAGCTGATGCCGCTGGGGCAGTTCTTGAGTGCGACCACGAGACGGAAGACGTAGCGTGGGCAGGCCTCCCACTAGGTGGACCGACGATCTGGCGAAGGTCGCAGGAGGTGCCTCGATGCGGGCGGCGCAGGACCGGTCTTTGTGGAAAACCTTGGGGGAAGCCTTTGTCCAGCACTGGACGTCTTTCGGCTGAATTAGCATTGTGCTCATCCTCGAGTGTATCGTGTACGCCGTGCTGACCAGGAAGATACCGGAGGCTTTCAACGAGAGCAAGCATATTGGTGAGTGAATGGCCCTTAGAATCGCTAAAATCAAGTGGCAGTGGGCGGGGCACACAGCTCGTAGAGCTGATGCCGCTGGGGCAGTTCTTGAATGGCGACCACGAGTCGGAAGACGTAGCGTGGGCAGGCCTCCCACTAGGTGGACCGACGATCTGGCGAAGGTCGCAGGAGGTGCCTCGATGCGGGCGGCGCAGGACCGGTCTTTGTGGAAAACCTTGGGGGAGGCCTTTGTCCAGCAGTGGACGTCTTTCGGCTGAATTAGCATTGTGCTCATCCTCGTGTGCACCGTTTACGCCGTGCTGACCAGGAAGATACCGCAGGCTTTCGATGAGAGCAAGCATATTGGTGAGTGACAATTTAGCCCATCGGTGTATTTGAACCTCGCCGGTGCTGGACTGTTGTTGTGAACCTACTCATTTCAAAAACACTGTTTTCTTGGAAAAAGTTTTATAAATACCTAGATACCTTTTATCATAGAAAATTGAATTACTTGAAAAATAATACATTAGATCTCCCCTTTTCAGGATTTTTCTCGATATTTTTTCATGAATATTTAGAATAGTTCGGGCGGTCCCTTACGCCTGGGCTACCTTGTATGTTCAGCTACTAATCAAAAATATTACGCTCATAAATTGACAACCCTTTCAGTGAGAAGGCACAAATTCAAGCTGTTAACACTTCAGCTTGAATTTGTGCCACCAGGGCAAATGTGCCCATATATTACGGGAATCTATCACTGACAGACGAAATATTGCTTATTCAAGCGAACTTGAGTCGGATAAAGTCATCCATTTAGCGCAAAGCTTATCCTATTTCTTAGTCAGATATAACCGCAGTCCTGAGCGAAACTAAGTATAGCTATTAAATGTAAATCCGCACTGGCGTCGATGTATATAATAGCCTCGGGCACATATATCTTTCTCCTCTCTTTGCCCTTCAAACCCGAGTCTCTTAAGCAAATCCTCTATTCAATTTACTTTTCTTTTTATAAATAACGTAATAAAGTTTTTCTAAACATAATACAGGGTCATATTTCATTCTACCCAATCCATTCAACTTATTCCTCCCTCTGGCTAGATATTTCAACGACTTATTTAATAAAAAGATAAGATAATAGTCAGGTCCGTGTATAAATCAATTCTAAGTGCTTGAAGCATTTAAAAGGCCTTTTGTCAGTCCCTAAGCTCAGATAAAGGCGATTAACAAGCGCTGAAATGCGTCCCAGTGGCTGAAACGTTTCTTAATGCATTAGTGAGTTTAGCCAGAGAATTTGCGATGAGACTACCTACGTAAACCGTACCTCAACTGTGCAAATATGAGGCGATAGATATGTCAACACAAACATCAGTTACCGCATAGCTGTCTAACTGAATGTAGAACGGTAGACTCATCGACAGCCCTGTTTCAAAGTACTGCGATAGTAACTACATTAAGGCTGAGTTCCACCATCTTACTTACCGTAATAACCGGTGTTTTTTGTATGTATTTCGACAGACTTTTGACCTTTGTTAAAGTCAAAGTAAGATGGTGCAACCCATCCTAATAATATTTGCACCCTTTGAACGATCTTTTCACAGATTTTTCCAAGGAAAGAGTTTTAAAATTGAGAAGTTGCGGTCACTAACAAGTTGTCGATTTCATACAGTGTTTTTGTTTTAACTGGAAAATATTTTTCATCGTCATCATCATCATTTCAGCCATAGGACGTCCACTGCTGAACATAGGCCTCCCCCAATGATTTCCACAATGGCCGGTTGGTGGCGGCCTGCATCCAGCGCCTTCCCGCTACTTATATGAGGTCGTCAGTCCACCTTGCTGGTGGTGGAAAATATTTTTACATACTATTTAAATATTTAAAAAGTTCAAAAATAAGAAAATTGTGCTTTGTTCACATCGAACGATTTTCTTTTACAGTGGAGTTTCTATCTGCATAGCCATTATGGATAGTGACTTGGATAATCGCTATCTCATTATTTCGTGTTTGACGACGTGATAGAAAGTTAATTGTGTTTGCTTCGAGACGTTTGTCTCTAATCCTCGGTGAGTCGAATGTGTACGGAGCAAATGTTATTTTGGACTTAGTTTGTTTAAAGTGAAGAGCGAAGATTAAACTCGTGTTTCATTAGAGCCCCTTTGCAGGCGCCCCCGGTTTGTCAAATACGATTCCGAATTCAATCCGAGATAATTTATAATATTTACTCGCTATTTCTGGAAGTTTACTTATACGGGCCTGGATCTATTAATAACAAAGAAGGTTTAACCCACTTTACTTCTTTGTACTTTCTCTGTAGGAGTTTCATACAATTTTAAACAGTTTTTTAGTTAGGAATAACTCTCGTATCCCGTATTTTCACCAAAGCTCCAAAACCCATGGTGTGTAAAAGCTATAGGTTGCCTTGAATAGACCGACTCTACGTGCGAGGCTTTTATTTATTTTATTTTTTTTAAAAAGATTATTAGTAATTTATTATTACACAAATTACTAATACTCCCGTTAGCCCCTCGTACTAAGCCAAATATGCTTGTGTCACGAGTGAGCTCACCACAATAGTCGAGCGGCGGCGGGGACCGAACCCGCGTTCCCCGGATCACGAGTCGGCCAGTCCGACCCCTTCACCATTCGGCTATCGTGGCTCTTTCAATGATGTACGACTGTTGCCAGTTTATTTTGCTATCTAAAACAGGCATTCACGAAGTAGGCAGCCGAATGCAACGATACAGTACAGGCAAATAAGAGTTTTTTGAAGTTAGGTAGGTACGTAGTAGTGAAATCATAGAGTAGGTACAAACAATACAATTTATTTTTAATTGGTCGTATGTTTGTTCACCATTAAAACCACCAAAAAGGTACTTTTACCTTATAAATTATAATAATCAATCGAACAAGAAAGACTAGCGTGATGAAATCGCAGAATGGCTATCGTCTCGTCACACAGTAGGTAGTTATTTATTTATATCAAATCGAGAAAATAATAATAAAATTGTAGAACACTTTATTTAATTTGCCATGAACATTTCATAATTATCAAGGTTCTCAGAAATAATTGTTTCGTTATGATATAACCATATCCTTGTCTATCTACGAGTAAGTTCCAGTATCCTCAGCGTACACCAAATCTCTCATAAACGTCTCAGATCTTTACCAGAGTCACTTTCAGCACCACCAGGACTTCTATATTATCCACACTAACTTTTGTCTCTATCCAGGGTTCACGATGTATACGACGTGCGTGATCTGGCTGGCGTTCGTGCCTCTCTACTTTGGCACCGCGAGCCACGTGCCGCTGCGTGTCACCAGCATGGCGGTCACCATCTCGCTCAGTGCCAGCGTGACCCTCGTCTGCCTGTTCTCTCCCAAGGTAGGTTGATCTATGTATCAGACTAAAGAGTTCTAGATGTCCAGATTTCACGATGTACACGACGTGCGTGATCTGCCTGGCGTTCGTGCTGCTGTACTTCGGCACCGCGAGCCACGTGCCGCTGCGCGTCACCAGCATGGCGGTCACCATCTCGCTCAGTGCCAGCGTGACCCTCGTCTGCCTGTTCTCTCCCAAGGTAATTACTTACTCCGATGACTCAGCGCAGCGACTCAAAAGTTTCTCTTGGCCGCCAATAGGAGGTTTTTCGGTCAGGCGCCTGCTTCAAGCACGCGAAGTTCTGCGTCTACCACGTTTCCCAAGCGGTAAGCCGACTCACTGGTCTTCGGCTAAGGTGGATTGGTCTATTATATCAGAACTACGACGAGATGTTCTTATCGTGACTTTTTGTACCGTTGAAAGCCAACAATATGACCTGACGGTCTAATGATGACACATCTCGCTCCGCGAAAAAGTGACCCTCATGTATCTCCCAAGGTATATTGGTATATGCAACAGAACCGTCCCCTCCCAAGGTAGATTGGTCTATGTAACAGAACTGTCCTCTCCCAAGGTGATTGGTATATGTAACAGACCAAAGAGTTCTAGCTATCCCGGATTCACGATGTAACTGAGATGATGGCGTAATCTGGTTTATTACTGCATCTTAGCTGATAAAATTAGTAAAAATAAACCCTAATGAAACTAAATTAAGGTTGTTTTTCCCAGCTGTACATAATCCTGATCCGGCCGGAGCGCAACGTGCGCCAGAGCATCATGCCGGTGCGCTACAGCCGCAAGCCGGCGCCCGCGCACGCCGCGCCGCCCGCCTTGAAGAGTAAGTCAAAGTCAAACTCAAAATTTCTTTATTTGCATAGACTATTTAAATAGTACTTTAAATATCCCGCTGACTAAATTACAAACTTTTAGTCAGCCGATAGTTTGGTCGGCTTTTAATATAAATGAGGAATCGGCCGATACTAAATTGGTGTTCCTTTTGAGGAATCCGCCTAATACCAAAAAGTTGTAATGTGCGTATTTTCATATTTGTTATAACAGCCTAATAGGCTATAACAACTTGACCTCTCAGTAAAAAAAATATGGTTGAGCCAAGATGCTTAATATCCAGTCTTTTACATAGGGCTGTAACCATAGTCCAAGTCTAAAGAAAAACTATGAATTCAAACCGGATTTTTTTATCGCTTGGAGTTTTCTTAGAACGAGACTGAAGTTAAATTTATCATTTATTTTCCACAGAAACGACGTTTGCCGATAAAGAAACCCAGACAGAGCAAGCTGACTTCAACAAACTCACAAACGGGCAGACGATCCAGCTGCTCAATGATAACAAAGAGAAAGAGGAAGCAAAGCTCGCCAAAGACGAGGAAAGAATCCAGTGCAACAACATCAAAGTCAACAACAACACCAACGACAAGCAAACAACAACTAACAACAAAGTGAATACTGTGTGTGGAATAAATGAAAAGGCTGAAACTTTATAGCAACGACATTCCTCGAAGTCACTCAACGAGGTGTTCAAAAACGCCAAAAATAACAATAGTTTGAAAATGAAAAAGAAAAGCTGTTCTTGTAAAATGAAAGAACGGAAACCAGTTGTAGTGTAAACAATCAGTGATACGGACTTACTAGTGTATTATTATTTATCTACGGATATTAGAAATTTTCAATCGAATTATAATATTTATAACAATACCTATCCTATACAATATTTTAAAACTTAACGCTTTGTAAAGAGGCCGCTTTTGACATCTTCCATCTAACTTTTTTGTACATAAAACTGTTTAAAATCACTTTCGCACCGATATTTAGTATGCTAGTCACTTTGTATATAAATGCGGGGAAAATGTAAATATCCAACCAAAGACAAATAGTGATGTGTATTGTACATAAACGATGTATTTAATGTACCTACTGTTAAGGTTAAGTTTGGTATATCAAATATTTAAGCTAAGTTGAATGATGACTATCGCAGCATATACAGGGTGTAGCTCTGAGCCAGGGCGGTAGCGGCAGCGTATTAATTAAGGTTTAACTCAGTACTTACGCTTCAAAATGAAAAGCAGATGTATAAACTTATCGTAGAAACAAACGCTTTTTAGTATTTTGACTGATATTCTAATAAAAAAATAGATTTAGCAATAGGAAATCATTTAAATTGTCAAATAACACTTGAAAATAACGGTGATGCATGGACTTTGACGTGAGTTTTGGGATTTATTCGTAGTCTTCCTACTTTGTATTCTGATAAATTAATGAATAATGTAAAATATTCTGATCGATACTTTAAGATGTAAAGAAAGCACGTTTTTGTAAAAATCACTAATAATGTATCGCTTTCTAAGTAATATCGCGTCGATGTTGCCACTACCGTCTTTTGCTCGCCCTGTGTATGCGCACACGTGACTAGATAATATTATATAATTAATATATACGGAAATAAACTGTTTTGATGTTTCAAGTGTTTTCATAAATACTTTCTTCCCAAGTTTTATATTCCTTAAACTTATAATATTATAACATTATGTAAAACAAAATTAAACAATTCGTAAATATTAAGCCTACAAGGCAGTAGAATATTGTGCTATTTTAAAGCCCGGTCCGTGAGCACGTAGAATTTTGTCTAATGACCCATCCTTATCGCTCGCGCGTAATTATATTGTTGTCGCGACTGTGCGACTTCTGGTGCGACTGGCACCCGCAGTGAGTGTGCGAGCGTGATAGCAACATAATTACGCGCGAGCAATAAGGATGGGTAGCTTGGGGTCATTGAACAAAATTCTACGTGCTCACGGACCAGACTATAGTTGGAAGTAATTTTGCAAGACACTAATTTAAGTAGGTACTTACACCCTTAACTAAACAAAGCCATGGTGAATAGTTAAAAGATATTCTTAGGTAGGCAAGTAAAGTACATTGTACATTTGAATAAACGTCACAATAACATTCCAGCCTCTAGCAGGAATATAAACTGCAGCGCACGCTACGGCGTAGCGGCCGTAGCAGCGCGTAGCTACGCGATTCAGCAATAGCAATAGGATCTACGCGCAAAATCTTTTAGTAACAAATCCATAACCGTTTAACAGACTAGGATAGACATAAAAATATTAGTTACATAAAACGGACGGAATCGCATAATGAACATCCGAAGAGAGCGGGTCGCTGCCAAAAATACTTTATTACAAGTATTTCATACAGAATGCGAGCGAAAATTATTTTCAAATAAAATCTACCAATTTATGTTACTATGGCATGAGGTTCCTTATACATATATTATGTCGTGTTAAACTTCAATGGTTGCCATCGCATCAGCAACACCCCATTTTACTAGTATCGCGATTACTTACGTGTTAGTCACACGTGCCTGTGCCTATATTTTACATTACTAGGTGCAGGTAGGTAATTACTGTTTGTCGATGCCTGAACAACACTAATGGAAGAGATTACACCTCGCGCGTCATGAATATCGCCGACTAATCACCAAGATTGATGAATTACTGCCAAATCCGGCGTCTTGAGAGCTGCCAGCCTACCACGACCCCTGCTCTTCCTGTTGCAGTGCCAGGTTTTATACCAACTTGGTGTCCAGCTACACTGGTCGCATTACTCGTAAATGGGTTGCTTTGGTAGCTATTAATCAATTTCCCCGTTTTGTTACAAATCTAAGCTCAATCCGTGATCCAGTTTGCAGCCGGTTAAATTTGTTGCTACCGCCTTTCCTATGCTTAAGTTCCCGACGTAAAACTTTCAGTTAGCAAATCATTAATCATAATCAACCACAATAAGCCTGAATGAAATTAAGTATCTATAACAGCGCTATTCTCAAAGAGAGGGTAGGTAAACAGGTAGGTACCTACTCGTACGCTCTAAGATTATACTTGGGTAGGACTCATGATCTTTGAGAGAAACGATTCTTTTCTCTGCACAAAATTATTTTTCATAGAATACCTAACTTTAACATTTCCATGATGATTGTGGTTTTGGCTATTTATTAATACCAATAAGTAGTCAGTCGAAATAATTAAACATCTGTAAAATAGGTAACAATCAACAGCACATAAAATGGTTACGTTTTCATTGCAAAATCGTCTGGAAGGCGCTTTGTGTTTGTTTTGATACTTAAGTATAAAATCAGGATTAATTTTCAAATTTCAGGCTGCGTCAAAATTCTCGATGAATGTTTCGAAAGAAAGTTCAGTTGGGCCGCAAACAATGCTAAAATGTAGGTAGATGTTACCTAATTAGCTTGTGGAAAACCGATCGAAATAGGTAATCAGGTAGCTCAGACCGAAATTTAGACTAGGCGCAGACCACCGATTTTTAGTTGGCCGATAGTTGGGCCTGATTTTAATTTGTATGAGGAATCGGCCAAATCAAATCGGTGTAATGTGCGCACTTCTCATGCCCATACTGATCAACTGCCCGACTAAACTATCGGTCGACGAAAAATCGATAGGTAGTCTGCTGCGCTTAGGCTTACCGCACAGTAAATAATAATTATTGTTCAGTTTGAATTTTCTTAAAACATCCAACCTACAGACACAGGCACCTACCTAACAATGGATAAGGTAAGTAAAGAATAAAAAAGAAAAGTAGCATAAAATATTTGCATAACCATCACAATCATGATCATTTCACAATTTCTACAAGAGCGCGGGAACTACCCGCGTGTATAAAATAATCAACGCACATGCGACACGTTTCCATGCTGAAATTCCAGTTATTTTTCGATTCACCAAATAACAAAGTACGTTAATATTATGTGCTCTGTGCATCGAACGAGAACATGCATTTGCAATAGGTATACTTACTAAAAACCTCAAAATTATCAAATTGTAGGTAAGCATCGGTATGTAATGTTTCGAACGAAGTAGGTAGGTAGGTACATAACTTGTGGAAAACCGTTGACAAAATCGGTATCATGTACCTACTTCATACCGCAATAAACTGCACGGAAAATAATTATTGTAGGTACCTACAGTTTAATTTTCATAACCATTCGTAACCTAGTAAGTAGGTATTATATAGGTACACAAAAACTTTTGGTCTATACATGCATTAACCGCTTGAGTCCCAGACGGCATTAATTAATGTCATAACAATTGATTATCTATTGTGTCTAGATTCGCGGGCCTTGAAGGATTAATAATACGAAAGATCATCAAAAAAAAATCTTAACCACTCACCATCAGGTCCTGAAGAACACACCAGGGTTTCACACCAGCACCATCACAATGCAATGTCCACAAGTTCCAAAGCACGAGTTCAAGTTCAAAAGAGGTTCCATCGAAAAAACACGCAATTAAACACAAAACTACATAACACTGATAAAACAACACATTTATATCTCGGAGTAGCCAAAATGGCTTACTAGTCGACTAATTCAAGATTCCTAAACTAAGTTTTTGAAATACCCTCTTTTTTAAAAAAATATTCTATAGTGCTTGAATAGTTTTACCTTATCGATTAATTGATTGGGAATTGAAAAAATAGTGATCAATCTTTTTTTTACAATAAAATTATTTAATAACGTAAAAAAACTTCTTACGTATTTTATACTTCTGATAACCAAAAAAATAAATATTCATGAGATTTATAAAACAGTGAAGAAAAGAAAAATAGTAAAACGTTTATTTATCTCTCATCATCACTCAATCTCTCTAGACAAGTGATAAAACGTGATAGTTGTAATTTCGAAATCCCTTCATGTTGCGAACTAACTATCTACATAAAAAACGCCGGAGTGAAGGGATTTAGAAATTACAACTACTTACCTTTGTTTGTATCACGCACGATTACGATTGCCACCTAAGTCCAAATCCACATCTAGCGTGAATATTGTTCTTTTTTCAGCCAATTTTAACAATGTAGGTTTGCCTTTTAATTAAAAAACGTTATTTTTTATTAACATTTATTACAAAATTATAATCCACGGTTGTTGTTTGTTTCATTATCATTATTTTTTTTAATTCTACAATCTTGTTAAATAATATCGATTATCAGTTGTAATCAATTGAACTTCTCTAGCACATCACTACTCAGTGAAAAAGTGACAGTTCCAACTTTGACGTTTTCTCAAAAAAGTTGTAAATTTTGTTATTACTTTGAAATAAAAATGAATACTTTATTATTTATAAAATGGAGGAATTAGAAGAACAACCAATGTGGGCCATCAGACAAGCTAGTCGGCAAGTGCTTCGAGTTAGTCGTCGAAACCAGAAATACGGCATGACCGATTATCGCAGATCTATTGAAACTTCGAGGTAAAATTTTACCAAAATGCCTGTATTTATTAATATACAGCCCTCTAAGATCTTTTCTACCTTATATTCTTAACCAAATATCTTATAGGCATTCCTTACAGGCACACTCTCTTAAATTAGAGAAACTGCTTGTTATAATCTGCTTACTTATATTAAAGTAAAGTAGAAAAACTTTGTTTGTCATCGAATTTCTATGAAACTTCACCTTCTGTGTAGGTATTATAAGTATATTTTCTGCTTCAGAGCATGCCAAGTATTATGTGAAGCGAGCACATGACCTATTTTTATCTATTTCCAAATGTACGAAGACCATTTTATATTTGTTAGATTCAAACACATACCTACAAGGGTTATAACTTGCCTTACACTCTACCACCTATTGCACTCAGCCCACATCGAGCAGTATGGCTTACCCTCTTGTGCTTTGGGCCAATTGGGGTGAGACCTGAGCCTTGAAGCAGAACGATTATTGGCATTGTTTTGATTTTTACTAAATTTTTCTAACCTGTCTTATCTATTTATCTATCTATTAGTGTCCCTCAGTATGTTTTAAATTTTCCTAAATTTTGTGTTTTCTTTCTTCTTCAATTCAGAATCGATCCTGATACAATAGCAGATATACCAAATAAATTGAAAAATAAGTCAGCATTAACTTTGCATGATCTGCACATTTTGAAAAATATCCTGATCGATGATGAAAATTATATCGAGATTGTTTTGAGTACTAATGGAGCATTAAGAGGGTTAATTAGAGAATTATCTGGTAAGTAATAAATCTATGTATAATCTGCTTCTGCCACAAAACCATTGAGTAGAAAACTTTTTTTTAGATCTGCCACCGTGTACCTATTGTGAACACAGGCTGAACATATTGGTTTGTCATTAACTTCAGTCATTTTCATTTATTGCTATAATATGTATTGGAGCTACTTGGGATAATAATATGAATACTCATATTTAAAAAGTATATTAGTATGGTGTTGTATATGACATAAGACCAAAAATGTGTACAATATGCTGTATAGATGTTTAAATCTAATGATAGTATAAAGTGTCTTAATTTATTTTCCAGGGAGAGACGTTAAAAGGCAGTGCGCTGCTGCAGGGTGCCTTTGTAACTTGGCCCTGGGAGACACCAAAGCGTGTGTTGCCATCGCGAAGGCAGGCGGTCACTACTTAACTCCGGCTCTGGACAGCACTACTGAATTGGCTGTGAGTGTCAGTTATCTATTATTAAAAGAATTATTGTCAATGAAAAAAATTTTCTATAGGTTTTAAAGGGAAATGCAGATGATGTCACTATTTTGCCTAATTGATTTATTAATTTCAAACAAACTTTTTATTGAAAACGTGACTACTAAACCTGCCAATTTAAGGATCCAAGGAATGCTGGTTCGTACTTTGTCGTCGGACTATTTTGGTGAATGCTTTTAACCAGCATATTTTTAGCTTAGCTGGAGGAGTTATTGGAACTTATGTCTTTAAACAAAATACAAAAAAAAATGTGACGTCAGCCTGGGCTACTGGGCTACGTAGCGTGGGAATGCGCACGATCGTGCGTGTTGCCATGCGAGTAAATTGTGTCAATTAATCAATGAGGGCTATCGTATTACCGCTCACCAGTTAGCACCAATGTAGAGTAAGGTCCTTTCACTTGCTAGTAGCGAAGACAGTGGCACCAACTGGTGAGCGCTAAAGTGGTAGGAGGACTATCGCATTTGCACTCATCAAGATGGCGCCACTGTAGAGTAAGTTCCTGTCAATCGCCAGGGGTGCCAACTGTTAAGTATAAAAACGATAGCCCTCATTGCCCTAAGTACAATGACTTAATTTGCCATTGCAGGTGACGTCAGCGTGGGCCCTCGGCAACATAGCGGGGGCGGGCGCACGATCGTGCGAGTTGCTATGCGAGCTGGGCGCCGCGGGCAAACTGGCAGAGCTACTGGGCAGGCGGGACGCGGCGGACGCTGCGGTATACGCGCTCACGCACGTCGCTTACCAGATGAAAAATACCCTGAGGTGCGTAGTCACGTGCGAATGAACATTGTGGTATCTTTACAATAGGTGTATGCAACTTTGCCACAACAATGAATAACCCTATAGGTAATATGATTTCGACTGTACTTGTAAAATAATTTAGTTCAAAATGACGGTAAGTTTTATGTGTGTAGCAACATGTTTAAGAGCCATTTAAAGGTTTTTCTATTTGCATCAACCAGTACCCTAGCTAGACAATCAATTCATTACAATTTGAAAGTAGCTTTAATTGTTTATTTTTAATTTTCAGCATAGAATATGTCGCCCGAATAATTGAAGCGTACTCCAAATTGGAACTGAACCTGGAAACGTGTCGGCTCCTCTTCTATTTGTCCTGCCATGAAGAGCTCCATTCAAACCATTTGCCGCACCGACTTCTGCTCAAACTCCTGGATGCCACGGCCGTGAGTATGGAACGACACGTCATGGGCACATGCAAACGATCCGACGTGTGCTGTGAACTATTGTATCTACTTCGAACGCTAGCCAACATATCCGTGACAAAAGTGAACAGTGATTTAGTGCTCGAATATCTTATCGATAAAAAATTGTTAGAATATTTTAAAACAATCATAGCGACCGATAATGCCATTATAAAACTGTCATCCTTGTGGTTGTTAGGCAATTTGTTCAATAGCTCTGGTGAAACTTTGTTTGAAGAATTTATTGGCGGCAATTAAATTGTCGTGTATTGTTGTAACAATTAAGTAAGTAGGTGTTCAATGCAATGTATTTTGTTGCTCAAACAAGTTGGTGGCTTAATATCTAACAATTAATATAGTACCTATTCAAAGCAATGTATATTGTTGATCAAACGATTTAATTAATTGGCGTCATATCTAGTTGTTTCAATCTCAATAGTTTATTCAATATACCACAATATTCATAAGAACAAACATGTAATAGAGTAGTGTTGTTGAAACTAGTCAAAATAAAACATTTAACTGTCGCAATAAATATTTTATTATATCAATAATTATAATATTTTAATAATAATAGTATTTAGATTAATCATTAATATGGATAAGGCTACAATATAGCGTTTTAAAAGTTGACATCACTCACAAATGTAGCTTAAAGCCTACCCCCACTATAGTCTAGTCTGTGAGCACATAGAATTTTGTCGAATGACCCCTAGCTACCCATCCTTATCGCTCGTGCGTAATTATATTGCTGTCGCGACTGTGCGACGGGCGCCCGCAGTGAGTGTGCGAGCGCGACAGCAACATAATTACGCGCGAGCGATAAGGATGGGTAGCTTGGGGTCATTGGACAAAATTCTACGTGCTCACGGACCATAGATATAATCGTGCTATAGATGGAACTTACATTATTGCAGACGCCCTCTAGTAGTGGTCCGTTACTTTAACGATATCCATTCGGCAAACTAAAAAGTTGTTGACTAAGGCTAAAACTATTTCTAAAACTAAAAATACGGCACAACCTATTTTTCCTTTTGAATAAAAGGAGACAACTTAAAATGTACTTGGAATCTATCCGAGACTAAAAAAGGTAGACTCTTGAACATTTTATTAGCTGTTACTAGTTGTCCACTTCCATTCATAAAGAAAAAACTGGACTGAACTTTTAGATTTAGAGCTATTTTAGTAAACCCCATCTATCAAAGCAATTTGGTAACTTCACACAATACAAGGGTTTGAATGAATTCATACAAAATTTTAAAGTTAAGTGAAGCTACATCAAGCAAAGATGAAACTTTAGTTTACATTACTAAAAAAGACCTCACGCTGTTCTATTATTAATTAAAATTAGTTTCTTATGTGACTAATGCAGGGTGCGGGAGGGCGAGGCATAGTCACGTGACCTTTGGCCAATCAGGCGCCTTGGATTACATCTTTTATTTCATTGCCTGTGGCCTTATTGCTCAGTCCTAAGTGGCAGAACCGTCCAGTAGTTCTACGGGACTAACAATAGTTCCAGTTTAGTAGCTCCAACGGAAAACTAAATGACCCGTGACCGTGATACTTCCAGTAGAACTAAGTAATAGGACCATAGATAATGCATGAGGCTTTCCACCCCTCCCACACTGTAATGCCTCAGTGCTGTATACTTAATCTAATCAGTTCTCTTGTCTTGTTCAGCAGAACAATGTGCTGTTCCAATTGCAAATCACCAAATTGCTCCAAAAGTTTCTAACAATGTCTACAGAAATAAAATACAATTTTATGATATGGAAAAACGTATTGAGTTTCACGCTAAACTCGCCAGGAATAATCTAATACCCTCTAGCATAAAGCTTAAGTTCCTATAAAATCTCAAAGTGCAGTATAATGGATCAGAAAACTTATCACTCACTATGAACAATACATGGATTTCTAGGTATTGGATTGTTGAGGGCGTCATCGTACACACCCATTCAGAGCCGTTTCGCAAACATTTGTATTTATAAATTGACCCAATTTTCGACCCCTAGCGCTAATGACAACACCACTGCGCTATGGGATTTTCAAAAATATACAGCCTCTATATTTTTATGGAACTAAGGAGATTATCTCTCAACCTTTCACCCAAAATATCCCCAGGGTATGTTTAATTGATAAACAAGCTGTTGACCAGGCACGTCGATCATACGAAGGATTGATCCCTTCAACGTTTTGATGAGCTAGGCTGTAGCCGTATAGCTCTAATAAAATTACCTTTATCCCATTATCAAGAACGAAAATACTACAGGTCAACTAGTTCGCCTTAAACTCTTGTGGTCACTAACGTTTGAATTAATAAGATCGAGATTTCTACCAACTACTTTTTGTTTTAAAGATTTCGATATTGCGAAACCATGATGGCTACCATATTTGCTCTTGGCGCGTAAAGTCCTGCCCACCGTTAGTGGATAAAATAGAGGCGCCAACTCTTGATTATTTTATCGCGTTCACCATCAGCACAACTATCGGCAAGTTAAAAACAAAAAGTTAGCATAAATCTCAATCTAATTAATTCGAACAATATCGCCTACACAGACTCCTAACACTAATGGCAGTAAAACAATTTAATGTAATCTCACTTTTTCTTACTTCTTACAGTAATTTCTAACTGTATTGAGCTGTACTCGACCAGGATAGCTAGAACTTCGACTGGATGACTCTTGAAAAGGCGTTACATCTACGATAGCATTAGCTAACACCATTTCATTATGTAACCTTTGTTTTTTTTACAGTTTAGCATTATTTGATGTGAAAATATGATTTGATTCGTACAGCCAAATTCTGCTGATAGACAGACCAAGATATCTTCAAATTACTGTCTAATTTGAAGCCTGTCTGTTAAACAGCTTAGTAAGTTCCAGTCAAAGCTCGAATTATTTTGGACGCTAAATAGGCACTATTGATTACGCCCTCCAGTTTATTTTCGCGAATTGGGGATAGTTTATTGAATTTTCACAAACATATCATTCTCTAAATGCCGAATTCACATTATCATTATTTATTGCATGAATATCTCACTACTATTTTGTCATGGGGCACGGCAGCGCTCCTAGGCAAGTTTTTCTCTTTTAACGCTGAATGCCTCACTCATTCCTAGGTTTAACTAATCTTATTTGATACCGTTCCTTATTCCTTTTCGACTCATATCACAAAACAGTTTGAACATATTATTTTTGATTAAGACGCAAACCAAGCAAACGGCTAAATACGACTTTGTATACATACAAATTCTCATAAATGTAAAAGAATATATCACAGGACTAAAGGTACATTATAAATGTTATGATTGACGTAAAATCAATAAAGTTCAAATTTGAAATGCTTCAATATAAATGTAGAAACTACAATAGTAAAGAAATAAACGAAGACATGTTGACTTTTTCTTGCATTTGGTCATAAGCTGGCACTTTGGTGGCGGCCGTGCTGTTCTCTGATTTGTAAAGTCATTGGGACCTTTAGGACCAAGTCATGGCAAAACGTTAAAATTTTAAATCAGGTTAATTTGTGTTTATTGAAATTTCTACGGAGATTAAGTATCATCGGTACCTTTACACGCTCTGCGATGACAGACTATAACTCAAGATCACGATCGTGTGTACTCGGTTGTAATCGCCCATTTTGCATGATCGTCGATCGGAAAGTTACTGATATTTAGGTACGTAGCAAAAGAAATACGGTAGTGTTTGATTACAAACGACCATGAGTGTGCTCGTACGATGATTGTGTGGATTACGTACGATCACATGTGTCACGGTCGTCGCTGTTAGTTCAGAGAGCAGCATGGCCGGTGGGGCTCCCGCTAAAGCGTGGGGGCACGACTCCAGTTATGTGTGGTCCGGGGCGTGCTTGCGGTGGTGTTGGCGCCTCGCCCGCGGTCGCGCCGCGTCTGTCGTCGTGTTCTGGGCTGGAACAAACGATTTAGGATTCGTTTACTTTTGGTTTGAAGCCTTGTTTAAACACAGCGATATCCTAGCTAGTTTCTATCGTATCTCAAGCTGTAACCGCGCGGTGAATGACAGTAAAAAATGCTCGATGACCGCTGTGTCTAAACAAAGCTTTAAGGGTACGAAGTAGATTCACACCCGATTACATGAGTACGTAGGAGTGTGATTGTTATGATATTGGTATTTAATAAGTATAACAGGCGACGGAGAGAGTCACTACATACCCCGCATTTACATACATACCAACTAAAAATTACCCTAAAATTGTTTCGTTACGATCATTCACATGTAGTCAGGCACTTACATAGTCGTATATTCTACGCTACACAATTTGTTCAGATGTCAAATGTTGTCCTTATTAGTCTTATTACTGTTTATAATATAGAAAATAATATAATTATACCAAAGCTACATTGCATTATTATAGTAAGCACATAAATTAGTAAACTTTCACATGAAGGAAAAACAAAACAGTGTTATCATCAGAAAAATAAATTGGAAACGAATAGTTTTACAGTAAGTAGGTAAGTATAAGTTACATACATTCAATATTAACATTGATTTCCCCAAACATGCACAACAAGAGATGTTAGTACAACAACGTTTATTTCATGGTTTTAAGAGATTGCCTGCAATACCAACCAAGTACAGTTGACAACCCTGGTGTACCAATACATACATTTTTGTCCATCATTACTATGTAGTTTTAAATAATAATTAAGAATTAAAGAGGTATTAAATTAGTATGTTAGTTAGCACGACCACAGCAAAATTAACCCAATTTTTTTTGAGCAAGCAACTTGGCGGGATCCTCTGCCGTGCACATCCCAACTGCGGGCAATCTCTTGCGCATAAAACACATCGCTATAATTGAATGTATTCTCACCCTTCTCTTGTGGTATGAGTTTGGTAACCACAACTTTCAACTCTGGGTACGTAGCGTAAGGGTCCAATATTCTACGTGGCGATTGCGCAAATTCGTTCGTGCATTTTAAACGGTGCATTTCTGAAATCGAACCAAAAATAAAGTAAAAATAAAGCTTGTTGTGCAGTTTGGAATGTAAACCGGGTAACTTAAAACTAAAATGAAAGGTGTGTGTTTTCTTACGTACGCAAACTAACTGTAGTGGGTGCCTAAACAGGCTCAACTTTTGAAGGCGCGCAATGCGAAGCAGCACGCAGAAAAAATAACCAAACAGCGCCATTTTTTCACAGAAGTACGAAAAAATAGAACAGTTCATAAAAACCATAATAGGTAAAACCTGAAGCGACAGCTCATCATCAACAGAAGCCTTGATGCTCGGGTGAAGACCTATCAGTTTCCTTAATATCATTGGATAAGTACCTACTCGAGACGAGGATCAGCGACGTGGTGGAAGAGATTGAGAGCCGTAAATGGAGATGGGCAGGGCACATTGCACGGATGAACCAGGATCGCTGGGCCAGAAAGACCCTGGAGTGGAGACCCCGCAACAACACCCGCGGCAGGGGAAGACCGCCTAAACGGTGGACAGACGATATCCGGCAGCAGGCTGGATTGAACTGGATGCGTGTGGCCAGGGACAGATGTCGGTGGAGGGTTGAAGAGGAGGCCTATGTTCGAAGGCGAACCCAAAGGCTGATATAGTTAGATAGAAGTACCTTCTCGTCGCCAGTTCGCCTCTGCTCACGTGTGTCAATTTGTGTCATGCCGCGCTAATGGTCACTGTAGCCTGGCTAGGTATGTGCTGAGAGCAATCCTGAGACTTACAACGAGACAAGCTGTAAGTGTAGGTCCTGTAGGACATACCTGGCTGTTGCTCTTCAGGACTCTTATTCTCACTCGCCTCGCTGTTCGGCGCGTGCGCCTTTTTGTTCTTGTGCTCGTATCCATTCGCTCGCGACCGTGTATGATCTAGAAATAATTAATTTTATGAAACCCGTAAGTAATTAACATTAAAGTTCTCTTCGCTTCCCCATAGTGGATTTGTCTGTCTGCCGTTTGGTGTAGTGGTTCGAAACGGACTACTATTCCGGAGGTTGCGGGTTCGATTCCTGCACAGTACAAACATTTGTGTGCATGAACATATTTGTTTGTATTGGACTGGGTGTTTTCTATGTATAATATGTATGTATTTACAAAAAAAAGTGTTTAAGTATGTTTATATCCGTTGTCTAGTACCCATAGTACAAGCTTTGCTTAGTTAGGGACTAGAAGCGCAGTGTAAAATTTCCAAAGATATTTATTTAAAAATACGCAGATTCCCACGCCCACGCCAAGTTCTTGCTAATAGCTCTGAGATTATACCTATTGAAAGTTCGGAAGGTCTGAAACATTATTCTGTGAAGGATACGTGACCAATGGCAACTTATTCTGATGAATTTTTTTTTATAATTCTCAGGCAGCTTCATTCTACAAATATTACAGACTTACTATTGCCATAAACGGTGGAGCGGTGGATCTGCTGGCCCGAGAGCTCGGGCAGCGTGAGCGGCCGCCTGGTGCTGCGCCCCCGGGACCCCATCACGTTGAAGTCCCTGTAACAACATCATACATTTTGTTAGAAAGAATGAAAAAATATTTTTAGTATACCAAGTAAAATCAAACTAAAGTATTTTATTACAAAACAAATTATGGCACTAAATCTTAGATTAATCTTTGCACTAAATGAATGAATGCGAAGTTTACACATTTTTCCCTAAGCGGTGTGTGAGGAGGACATCTTGTTCTCTAATCTCCAAAATGATTTTTCACACTTCTCTAATCGATGAATCCTGCAAGGTTAATGCTTTTTTTTAATGGAAGATCGCTTCGCTGTATATTTTCTAGGTTTTCATTCATAAATTCGACAATAATAACAACACTCAACATTTATAAAATGTTAATAGAAAAAAAAGTTAAAATAATCTTTTGTATTAACTAAACGCAAACCACAAAAGCCAAAAAAAAAAAAGTTTGAAATCGGAACTCACTCTCTCAGCGGTTCGCGCCAAAAGTCCGGCGTGGGCACGGGCGGGAAGTGGTAGTTGCTTTGATATCCGTATCCGTCGAGCCCGCTGGCGCGCAGGCTCGCGTGCAGTGAATTCTTCATACACTGCAACTGGGTGCGACGATTTCACGCGTATTATTATGTTACTTAAGTTTTACGTTTTAATGCATGATAAAGTTAAAGGGTATAAATATTCTACAAACATGCACTGCCCCTACAAAAATAAAAATAAAAACAATTAAATTACTTTTATTGTTACTTTTTTTATACATTTTTAACTTGTTTTTTTTTTTGTTTTCTGCCATGAATATTAAGCACTTGCATATTTTTTACTAAAAAATTTCCTTTATTGGACAAAGGCAAATAGAGGGGCAGTCACGTCTAACTACGTAAGTGTTGAGATTGTGTTAAAAGGTCAAAAATTCAAAATGTTGTGTGAGGTTCAAACATCAATCCAACTACTTGCTGAGAATTACTTAGGTTATTAAAATCAAAGTAAGCATCGGCAGCTTATGTTTCCCAGCTATAGACACAACTTCACACAGTGCTAGGTGCAACAGAACAAGGTAAATCTATTTGGTATGACGTGCATTCAGGACCCTGACACAAGTTTCAAAGCACTAGTCTAAATAAATAGTTTCTATAACTATGTTGGTAAGTTAGAGTTAGTAATTATTATACTAACAGTGATGGATTTACTCGGGTGACGGTAGTTTCATGATATATTCAATCGTAATGTCGAAAGGTCTGTTTGATGTTATGCTGAGATATCTGGTGCTGTTGAAAATAACTTGAAATGTCGTTTATTGTGTTCCTGCAAGTGACTGTTAAGATTTTATTTTTAAAGTAGGTAGGTACGGCCAACGAGAAGCGATACCAAATGTAAACAAATCCAATGTCATAGGTGAACCCGTCTGACTGACATATTTTGGCGGGAGAACGAGACATTACGACAAATACACAAAATGGGAAAAGACAGAATATATTGTCAACTCGACAGTCGTATCGACCTTTTGTATCGCTGCTAGTTGGCCGTACTTTAGTCGAGATAAAATGGTAATTGTTCGGTAACCAAAACCAGTGACCCATCTCCGTAAATCCGCCACTGTACCCACTGTGGTTCGCCGCAACTATAGCTGGCAAACGTGCGCGTGACATACGTGTGCGTGTCGCGCGGCCGCGCCGTCAAACAAGAGGTTAGTGACGGCGCCCCCCGCCGCCGCCGCGAGTACCTCTCTGCGCTGGCGCTCGGCGTCGGCGCGCAGGCGGCGCACCAGCCGCTCGGCGTCCGACAGCCGCGCGCGCAACTCGGCGCGCGTCTCTGCTGCGCCCGGGGACAGGGCCGCCGCGCGCTCGCTGGACAAGCACGTGCTGCATTGCTGGGACTCCAACTCGCGCATCTTTCTGCAAATAGATGACATGAATGAAATTAAAAGGCAAGACGTGAGTACCTATGTAACTTATTTGTAATTTTTTGGTTGAACATAATTTCATTATACCTAACCCTGGAATTGTTAAGTAGCTTTGAAATCAGTAAGTCAATTGGATTGTAAACTGGTGACGCCCAGGTTCTCTTTCCCATGAAAATAAATAGGTAGTTGCGTTTTGATATACAGGTAGACTTTATTGAAATCGTTGGCATCCTTTTGAAATAAGACTACTCATGATACATACATTCCCCAAATATGAGGCAAATCCAATGAGAATCTCATATTTGGGAAATGCACGATGTATCATGAGTCACTCTGTATAAAAAGTATGTCAATTGACTGGTGATTTGTGATCTTTGTGAGCGTGTAAGTCTTTAAACCCATTCTAGGCGTTCAAATGAAAAATAATAATCGAAGACTTCCGAGAAACTTACTCAGTCTGCGCATCCAGCAGCCGCTGCAGCTGCAGAGCTCTTGCTTCAGCCGCGCGCGCCTCGCTGCGAGCCGCCGCCGCCTCTCGCTCCAGGCGAGTCACTTCTCGTTTCAAATTCGCTTCCTACAAATACAAATTTCAGGTGAATCGACTTGTTTTAGGACACACGTCAACATTTTTTAACGAAAAAAGATCGCAACTGTATTTATCGAATTGTTTGCAGTATTTTTTTTCCGAAGTTAAGCAATAAGATTAAAAGTAAAATAGGGGGGTATTTCGCCAAAAATGGTCAATTTTGCCTAATTTCCTTGGCACGAATTTTATTTTTGTTTTTAACTATTTTTAGTTTCCCATTGCATTAAGTAGTAAAAACTAAGCTAATATATCTAGAAGGGGTGTCATAATTCCTTTTAGAAACAAAGTTATGAGGTCATAAATTTTTGGTAGCCAAGGAAATTATTATAAATATTTTTTTCTCTAAGTTTTCTTCTGGGGTTTGCTTTTTTTTTGTTCGACCTATTTTTGTGTACTTTCACAAGCAAACATGCCAATGAATATTATATCATTACGACCTTTTTACACAACTAAGGAAGATAAATCCAGTAGATTGAGTTAAAAGTTAAAAACAAGTTTTTCTATATCTATTCTCATACCTATTTCTTAAAATGTAAATTTTAAACTTATTCCAATGAAGAAATACTCAAAATTTGACTTTACGCCGAATTATTAATGGTCTTTTATAATTTCCTAGGTCATTTTATGCCACGGAAAACAAGGAAATTAGGACCAAAGAAATTAGATTTATGCCTAAAAGACACCACAGAGAAAAACCTATTTACCCTATGCATTTACTATTTAAATCATGGGTTTACCCCTACAGACACTACATTTGTGTAAATAAACAATAAAATTAATCCATTGTTTAGTTGCAAAAAACCGTCCAAAGAAATTGACTTTTTAGTAAACAAAAACCCAAGGAGGGACCTATTTATGCGACTTGTCGCGAAACTGATCAACGACGTACTGTCCTGCCTCAATGGCCTCTTAGGACGAAATGGCCGAGTGAGGTGGTGCAGTGCATTACATTCTAAGTTTTTTCGTTTCGTTACAACAATGGTCGAAACTAAGACCCAGGGAAATTATACTTTTGACCTGGACAAGAACTTAACTTCACTTTATTTTCTTCCTATAAGTATTTGACATTTAAAGTTTTTATTTTCCGATAGCCAAACGTTTCTCAAATGTAAAGAGAGTGATATTAGAATTAAATTACGCTTCAATTTGTTATAATGAGCCTTCATTTTGGCAAACAACAGTAATGGACATAACAAGGAAATTAGAAAAACGACTTTTGATTAAGTTTTTCTACGGTATTATTTGTAGTTTCTGCTATTGTAATAGCAAAAACAAATAAAACTTTTGATGAACTTTCCCATAAAAATAGTTTTATACAGATAGATATAAAAAAACATGTGTTCGCCTGCCTGGACACAGAAAATTTACTGTTTCGGCGAAATACCCAGGGGCTTATAAAATTGTTTTATTTTGCCGACACACGCAATGTAGGTAAGCATATCTATCATGGACTGTTGTCTCTCAGATTTCCGTAATAAAAAAGTGTGCAGATATTATTATTTCTAATTACCTATATTTTATCACGTACTACTACACGTGAACATGATAATTATATAAGCAGTCAACTAGTAATGGAAACAGCTATAATTTATAACTATTTGGTAGACCAAACTGTACCAACATGATGCAATAAAGATTAATGACTATGACTGTTGGTATAAACAATCATAAATTACCTCGGTACTTTCGCTGCATTCTTCTTGCGCGGGAGTTGCAGGTTTCGGTGAAGATTCCTTGTTGAAGATCAATTGAAACTGCAAATCTGTGGGACAAAACAAAATAGGGTAAATGTAACGTATTACCAACCAAGTCGAAATAATTATTTTATTAAGTGAGCATGGTTGGGTACTTAATAGAACTCTACCAAGCCAATGTTAATATCAGTGATAATAAATCCAATTTTGAAGACATTTTTTGCTAGTCTAGTGATGATTATAAAAAAATACCACTTCGAAATTTCAGGGTTTTTTTTAATTCCAAAGCTGTCTGACCTCTGTTTCTCTCCCTCAAAGCCTCGATCTCCGAGTGGAGTCCACTGAGCATCTGCCGGTGCTGCTCCTGCAGGAAGCGGACGCTGTGCTCCAGGTGCGCGACCCGGGCCACGGCGTCGCCGCCGATGATGAAGCCGCTCCCGCCATTACTGGTACTGCTGCTCGGCTGCTCTGGGGGGGTCGACTTCTTCAACTGGAAACAAAGGTGCAGGTTTGTTATTTACACTAAAGAAAGACGAAGCAAGTTGCTGAGACTCTAAGCTGGATTAGCTAGAAGCTAGATAAAGACAGCTAATGCTATAGGTTCTGGTTGATTTATCTTTATGACTGATGATGACACACCGCTTATTTCTAATATCTTGCCTGAATTTTCCCGCTTTTTGAGATACATTATTATCTACCGTATTAGCCAGTGTATTTTTCGATTATAGAGGAGTTTATCTTAGGCTTCATTTTGCTAGCACTATAATAATGTTATCTTTTCTATCCGGCCCAACCATCAGCGGAAACTACCAGTGTCCAAAGTTCTACGCATTATTTTTTAATGATGTTCAAGTGATGATGCCATTCTGGAGTGCAATGAATTCATCACGAATTCACGATTTAAACTTGAGTCATCGCCATAAACTTTTTATATTTTAATGTCTTCCATTTAGGTCGTGCGTGGTATGGAAAACAAATTGTTTTTTCCTTAAACGCCCGCTCTCATTTACCACAAAGTAAGTATACATAGCTGTAAGTTTTCCAAAGAGTTCTGAAATAAAATAAAAAGTTAATATTGTTTAATAATTACAACTTTCTGCTAAACATAATTATAAAAAATGCCTTATTTCCCAAGATCGGCTACTATACCAGAAGCGGTGGGAAAAACCCATAACGGAAGGAAACAATGGCTTTTCCGAGGTGTCGTTGACCGCTGCAACTGAAGAATCCTTTGTCTATAAATGACTCGCCAATCGAATTCTTTGTTTATCTACGTTCGTCTAACGCGTTCTTTAATTAGACAACAACATGAAGAGTGTCACAACAGCTAAATGTATGTAAATAAATTATTCATCGTTACTTAATTATTAATTTAAGGTAGGTTCAAAAAATTTTAGGTAAGTTTCATTCAAATAATATTTAATATCAAATGGGTTAGTTATTTTTTAAACAATATTTTATTTAATTATTCTTAACATCCGAAATCTGTTTACACACTTATGTATATTGCTCCAAAAGGATAAAGGAAATCTAAAATTACAGGATAGAAAACAATAGTCATCCATATTAGTTATTTATTTTAGTACTTACTTGCAATTTCGCAAATGGAGCAGTCGGCACGAGGACCTTGGACGCCATCGCTGCCCCTATCCGAATGCTGATCAGAACTGGTCAATCACCGCGCTAAGGCGATCACCGCGATTGCCTTTGTTGTGGACTGCCTCGGAGCACGCGCGCGCTTGCAATGGTGAATCCAACATTTGTGCACAACAAATCCAACGACCTTGTCCACTACACGTAATAATTAAAAATAAAATCCACGGCTCAACGCGTACTATAAACGCCGGTTACAACTACGTTCTGAGGTAGACGTTTCTTAGCTTAGAGGTCGACGACCGTTGTGACCTTGAACTAGTGAACTTATATGCAATCCGGAATTGACATTTGACGAAAGCACTGTTTTCTTGGTTTTCGGGATGTATTTTGTGGGATTTCTTTTGTTTTTTGTCGTGTCGGACGGCAACTGGGGCTGCGGATGCCCGGGCAGGTGCAGGGCGGGGCGGGGAGGGTGCAGTGTCTATCGATCGCGCCGCCGCACACAGGTTCCGCGTACTGCTGACTCACGGGCTTCGCTTCTGTCACTTCGCTCTACACTGCTGTGGCAGTCCGCCAATTCCTCTCATAGCTATAAGTCATGCTATCAGAAGAGTTAGCGGCCGCAGATTGTTAGTTATGACTTCATTTTCATTTGATCGCAATACTACAATAATATACGGCTTAACTTCGTTCTTACTAGTTGCGTTTTTTACAAACAACGATTTCTTAACCAAAATTTTACTCTCTGATGTAAGTAGGTAACTCAGTTATGCCCTATAGAACCAAAATACCGAAACGATTATGAAAATGCACCCGCATTCATTACGTAAAATCGATTTCGTAGTCGTATTACCCGGTCTCTAATTTTAATGTTTACCACCAATTACTACATACTTATGTAGGTATAATGTAAGTACTTAGGTATATGTTACTGAATAGAAAGTTTGACCCAATTTTATTGTAGGTAGTTAACTACTTAACTATCGACCTAGTAAAGTTATTTGTTTGTAGGTATTTAACTAGCTATTGACATTATTGTATTATTATTGTGGAATTTATGAATATTTTTGGATATTGTATACAAAAAAGAGTTCCCATTTAAGATTTTAAATCACATAAACATGACATGACCCGTAATAGGCTACTCTACCTTAATAATTTATAACTATTTATTTAGGTAAGTAAGCTCAAAGACCAGACGCTTTAGGTGCGCCCTTAGATTATGAGAGCCAAAGCTGTTGCTGAAATGTTGTGAGGGGTGACGTTATGATATCAATATAAAGAAATATTCTTAATCTACGCAACAGTTAAGCGGCACACGCACGTAATGAATCTTTCCCGCTCTGTTTTGTCTAAAATGTGTATTTACGGAGCTGTAGAGGTAGGTACTTATTATTAGCCGAAGCTAAAAGCGAAATGGTGACTCTTCGTCTAATATTATTATCAGTACAGTCAGAAAAGTTCCACTGAATTATAAATAAGTTAACTACTTAGGTAAGTCGTAAAGTTAAGAGTTCGTGTGTTACAAACCCTAACATGAATCGATCAGCAAGCTAGAGACTAGGGAGGCATTTTTATTACCTAACAATGTTACATAGGCTACTAGTTCATTAGTGTTTTTCATGTCTTCATCTACAACCTACTTGGAGTACCTACCTACCTACCCTACCTTAGATATCGAATCATACTGTAAAGCAAATCGCAGCAGTCTCACTCTTCAGCCTCAGATTTTATGAATCGCTATAGTTGCGCTTGCTGTATGTAAGCTTCCTTTTCTCGTAGATAAAGTTGTCGTATTTAATCAATCAAGTACTTACATTCTGGTAATATACTTACATCTACCACACCATCTGAACCCCCTGCGATCAGTATCGCCGATCCGGCAAATATCGTGATAACGAGCGGGGAGCCGGCTGCGGAGCCCCCATGCTAGGCAGGGGCGGCGCACTGAGTAACATAGCGCCGGCTCTGTCAATAATATACGTAAAAAGTCGCTACGTAAGTAATTAATTGAACTCTCCTACTAAATAATGCAAAGGACGCACATGTTTTGAGCGAACAACTTCTGAATAATAATTATGAATAATAAACTACGAAGTCATTGACTTTCTAGTTATATCACAGTGTCAGAAATTAAATTAATGAGCCACAAGTTATGATCTTAATTATTTCAAATAGAATTATACCTTTTTTTCTGATAAGTAATTAAAGAGCATAAACTTCTGTAATCGCGTTTATTTACATTTGTTTACATTTATTTGTTGACGGATGAAGGATTTTGTTTCTTAGCAACGATAAGACGTTTCTATAGCAACAGAATTGTAAAACAAAAAGTTACATAATAAAAGGGTTTAAACTTTATGTAGTCACTAGTTTGCTTAATTTACAAATTAATTAATTTTAGTTTAATAATTAATGCTTTTTACATAACTAATTTGACGATTAAAGTTATTATTTAAAAACTTACAATTATTAAAAGGACACAAAAGTTTCAGTGGTCTTGACAAACAGTTGTCAAAAAATAAAAGTTTTATTGTTTTGAACATGGCTGTTTGGTGTTCATAGATTTTATAAATTAATTTTCAATTTACTTTATTGGTGTTAATATTGTCTTGAATCATGGTGTTAGACAGTGAGAAGAACGACAAACCGTCAACACCCATGGAGCCTTGTTTGAGAGGGTTCTCTTTTATGCCCGAAACCAAAGTGGAGATGAATTTGCAGGTAAGTCTTGAAAATAAAAAAAATCGTCATAGCCCACATTTCTAATGAGAATTTTATACGGCGCGTAATGGGTGTGGTCTGGAAGCGCATAAGAAGCATTGCACAAATTGTATAGTTATTTGAAATGTAATGTTTCACAAGTTCCTTAAATCGACTGCTTGCTTGTTGCTTCAAACACAATTCAAACATCACCTTGAGTGCAATTGGTTCGAAATTAGCTAGAGATCCAAGTTCGAGTAGCATTTTAAGAATGTGGGTAGGCCTGCCTACATAATTCTTTCCAACAAGATCATCTGAAGCAGTGTATTGTTCAATGCTATACTTAGTAATGTGAATATTATTTCAGTTCATAGAAGGTGAGGAATTGGAGCGGACATGGAAGACGACCAGACGACAGCGACTCAAGGAACGGGAGCAGAAGATCTGGGATGAGTTTGTCAAGGAACAGGATGTTCTGAGCAATGTCTGTAAAGGTTAGCAAATATCATATTATTATTACCTACCAATTTTTTTTTTACTTTGAAAAGCTCTAAACTTTAATTAAATGGAATAGGTAATTTATAACACATGCTGTTTAGCTCACAACTCCATTTATTGCTTTTCATCATTAGTTAAGTAAGGTAACATCCAGCAACATTACTCCTTGAACCATTGACAAATTGAAATCCAAAAGAAGAAATTATTTGTCAAGAATGACATCTATTAAGTAAGTTATTTGGTTTTCCAGATGATCCTTATCAGTTCTTGGAGCGACTTCCAGAGTCCTGCATAAAAGAGCTGCTCGAAATTGAGTTGCAGAAGATGAAGAAAGATAGTGAACAGGAGGTAGAACAAGAACAAGTGAGTCAAAAGCACAGCCATAACAAACTGATGAATTGTAGATTGCAGAACTTTATGCTCTTATTTAAGATACGTATAAAAAATACCCTTATGTCCAAAGGGTACTACAAGGTTCGAGACTATATCTATCTTCTATCTTCTATCTATATATATAAAAATGAAACCCGTTTCGCGTTGTCACGGCATCACGTGTGAACGGCTGAACCGATTTCGATAATTCTTTTTTTTAAATGTTTGTGGAAGTCCAAGGATGGTTCTTACGGAAAAAAATATTAAGAAAATCTCTACGCTAAGGCGGTACGAAGTTCGCCGGGTCAGCTAGTTGATGATAAAGATGTGTGGTCAGTTCAGTCTGCACATATTTGATGTACAGTCGCGGAATGAAAAGGTTCGTCACCTTAGTGTCGGTTTTCGCTTGCACTAGGTACTGTAAGAGTCAAACCTGCCAACATAACAGTGCAAGAAACAGTGCTGCTAATATTTAAATAAATATGACGTTTGCTAACGAATAAGGTTTTGCTTGTTTATTTTTCTATCCCATCAGTGCAATGCAATGATGACATTGACCAATTGACAATAGTTTTTTTTTATTTAATAGAAATAATAATGGCAGGTTGAACCAACAAGGTTTTAGTTTATCAATCATAATAATCTTCTTGACAAGATAAATCGTCAAACAACTTTGATCTGAATAATTTTGAACTTTACTGACGAACAGTTAAAGATTATTTTCTCTAACTCGAGATTATTCTGTAACATAGTTTCAAAAGGTAATATGAGCTCGCGATTCGTTGAAGGAATCAATTTGAAAACTGACGAACCTTTTCATTCCGTGACTGTACTTGAATTTGGTTATTCTTACCGTTAGATAATTCCTAGCAATTATTGGTGACGTGAGTTTGTTCCGGCGTTTCTTCTCAGCACTTGCCATATGTTTGTCTCGAAGCGCTGGTAGGGCCCAAAAGATAAGGAGAACTGTGGAAAGCTACTTTGCCTTACCATATGGTGGTCTTTTAAATGTAGCATAGTGCACAGCAACTCAAACATCACAAAAATTCCCGTCCCTTAAACACTCTAGTACATTGGTTCCCAAACTTATTTGAGACGCGCCCCCTTTCGACCATACAAAAAATTCCGCGCCCCGCTCCTACAGGCAAGATTATTTATTGGTCGTATTGAACAGTCTGGAATGCATTATCTTAGCGGTCATAGGTTTCTTACAGATGGCCCGCGCCCCCCTTTAAAGGTCTTTACGCCACCCCTGGGGAGCGCGCACCCCACTTTGGGAACCAATGCTCTAAAGCCTGGTACGCTCGCGCGTAATTATATTGCTGTCGCGACTGTGCGACGGGCGCCCGCTGCGAGTGTGCGAGCGCGACAGCAACATAATTACGCGCGAGCGATAAGGATGGGTAGCTTGGGGTCATTGGACAAAATTCTACGTGCTCACGGACCAGGCTTTAGTATGTACTAGGCTGCCTCAGTGGCTTTATTGCGTTTTAAATGCTTCAAATCATATTTCTCTGTTCTTCTCAATACTGTATTGTGCATTTCAGGAGGCGCAGCAAGGCGGCGGCGACAGCCCGCGGCGCGCCGATCCGCAACCGACGGTGACGTTTGCCGACGCCGACGCCGACGACGACAGTGACGTCATACACATATTCGACGACGAGAAGGACGATGACCAGTCGGGTGAGCGAGGCTTGTCTTAGGTATACGGGAATTATTATCCTACCATATTTTCAACTCCTGCATTGCCAGGATCTACAGCTTGGCCTCCATTGAAACTCAACAAAAGTGAAGGTTGAGTAGTTCCATTTATGCACGTGGCTAAACTGAAAATACATATCAGGAGAAGCTTCCAGCTGCTTTGAATTGATTATTTAGATCTGACGCCATCTTTACAGCGCATCCTATTTATTCTTCTTTGATAAAAATGAATAGAAAT